CATTATACATTTGGAGGGAAAAGGTACAGGTTTACCGCAATGTACCGTAATGAAAAAATTTGCTGGATTAGTCCTGTAAAATTTTTTTATCTGCTCCCACTAGAGTAAATAGACTGTTAATACATTGTTTTTAAGGAGGTAAGTACATAAAAGATAAAGATAATGAAGCTTACCAGCAATTAGGCCATGCTTGGCCCTTTTTGCCTGCTAACTTACACTACCCTCCACCTTAACAATCACAAACATCCATGGTACGACAGGAAAATTCGAAAGAATTTTCCTGCCGCGTGCGGGATTCGAACCCACTACGGTTTTGCCGCACAGCCCTGGCTCGCCTCTGTAGGCAAGCCTTGGCCGCTTCGGCTACCGCCGCGCAGGTAAGTACATAACTTTCTGCAATTGTGGCTGATTTCCATCCACCATGTCTCTTGATTGCTAATACACCGACTCCTGTATTAGCCAGTAACGTTGCCGATGTTCTTCAGAATGACTGGCCTGTATATGTTTCATGATGTTCTAGTTTCAAAAACTGTACAATCTTATTAGAAATCATAGAAAGGGTATTCTTGACGACTTGTTGGTTGTAACATCTACCTGATTGATAACGCATAAAAAAGCGTGAAATTTCAGTTTTAATTTCCAATCTAATCTTGATATATTTCTTGAGAATTTCTAGGTGAGAAACAGAACCCAGACGAGAAGTAATTGTAAACGCACGTGACATACCATTTTTAGAATCTGGAATTGTAACTACAATGTCATTGAAATTTTTTCAGAACGGCATGCTCCTGCAATACCTAAGGCCGTCAGTACCTTCATTAGCAAATATGCATTATCGGGTGCCTGAACGAGAAAATCGTTTGACTTTTAGGTGTTTAGCCGTCATTCTTACGTTTTAAAAATGCTCTCAGCGTGGGGTATTTCGATATATCCATGTTCTCCTCTATGAAACTAGTTGACTTAATCATTGAGTATTCAGTCCACAAACCCGCCGGTAAGTTTAAAGTTCTTGACTTCTCCATGAAATATGCTAGCAGTAATATTTCAGAAACACCAGTATTTTTATTCTGGCACCATTCTTTGAAATTTCTATATGCTCTTCCGTAGCGCACTTTCGACTTCTCGGGCAATAAAAATTCACAGGCAACATTTCTATTTGAAAATCGCTCATTTAGAAATAATAATTCAAAACCAATAAAAAAGTTAAATGTTGGATATAGGAACTTACAAAGGATAGACATTTCAGAGGGAGCATTTGCTGATGATCAGGGCGGGAACTAAGAAAGATTTAGAGCACAATTTAAATATATGGAACTTGGTACTTGAAGAGAATGGAATGAAAATGAATAAAAAGAAAACGAGAGTGAACAAGAAATCGTGAATATAAAAGTAGGAAATGAAAATATTCAGCAAGTTGATGTCTTTCAGTACTTAGGAGTAGAGGTAGAAAATAACGGAAAACAAGATGCGGAAATAAATAGGCGAATAGATAAGAGCATAAAATTATATTATACAATGAGTACGAACTTTATAGGGAAAAAAGAAATCTCGCAGAAAACAAAATTAAATATTTTTAAATCAATATATCGTCCAATCCTGACATTTGGTGCGAATCATGGGTTCTATCGCAAAGACAAAAAAGCAAGATACAAGCAATAGAAATGAAATATTTACGAAGAATAAAGGGGATAACAAGAGAAGACAGAATAAGAAATCTTAAGGTAAGAGAGGATTTGAAAATACAGTCCATATTAGAATTTATCGAAAAAAGACAGCTGAGCTGGTGGGGACACAAAGGATGGATAGTGCAACACCGGCCAAAAAAATATGGCATCAAAGACACATCGGAAAAGAGGAAGAGGACGACCGAGAACAACATGGGTTCAAGTAATTGGAGAAATATTAAAGAAAATAGGAAAGAAATGGACAGAAGCAAAGGAATTGGCAAGAAACAGGCAGGAATGGGCGAAATTTGTGTATAATTAAGTAAAATTACTACCTACACCAGAATGTGGTAAAAGGGTATTTCGATTATATATATAATTCAAAACCATCAAAATTGCAACTTTTAGTAGCTTTGTTTATAAACACCTTAAAAACGGCAAAACAACCAAGGCGACTTTGCAAGATTTCGAATAATGTTAAAATGAATTCTTCAAAAAAGTCAACAATTTATTTTTAATTACAAACATATAAACATCTTATTAGTTAAAATTAATAGTAATGCTGCAATTTTCATTAACGTTGATATCTGGAATTTTGTTGTAGGACTCATTTATGTTACTATTTATACATTTTTCCTTGTTTATTGTAACATTTCAACAAAAGTTTCCCCACTTTGAATCATGCGAGGTACCCTGTTTTGCAGCAAAAGATTGACTTCAGCATCCGCCAGTAAAATGTGAGACGTTTTTCGAAAACAGAATTGTTGCTATTTTTTGGGCAACGTCTCCGATTGAATGGATTCCCATTCTTTGCGCAATACACCTATCTTAACAATATCCCATAAAAAAGAAACAGATGCTGTATATTCAATCGCTAATTTGTAGATTTTCTAGAACAGCAGCACAGAAACAAAATTATTTCTACAAAGAAGTATTTCTTTATTCATTACTATTAGTTATTACTTTACACATTTCGCAAATTTTGTTTGAAATCAAAAAAAAAATTAAATTAATTAGAACTGTTAGGCTATTGATTATGTCTTAAAAAGCAGAGTACTAAGGAACTACAACGTTGATGGGTTTTTATTGCATGAATCGTTCAAATGGTTATTCAGAAAGAAAAAACCGTGGGAGTGCTATTAAATTAGAGGGTGGATTTACTGCAAAATATATTAAAAACAATTTAACAAAAAATGCGAAAAATTCAATTTTTTGTTTTTTTTTACTTTTTTGCAAATAACTTTTTTCTGAGCAGAGATATGTGTAGGCATTACTTCATAGAAAAAAAAGTATATAAAATTTCCTACAAAATGATGAACTATAAAAGTTTTTTCGATAAAAATAGACTGTTATGGTCGTTCAAACTTTGCCATTTTTTTCGGTTTTTACTGAATTTATGACAATATTGATTTAATACTTTATTTTGCATATACAATTGATTTTTAATCAATAAAGACATGTTAAATTAATTTGTCAATAATAAATAAATGTTGTACGAACGTGTATAGTTTTTATTTATTTTAACAAATTAACAAATATTAATTTATAAAAATTTCTATTTGTTCAACTAAAATATACGTATTGTCAATTGTGACAATGCTCAACAAACGAAGGTATCAGAAGACGATGTTCTTCAAGAGGTCGACGAAGAAATTGATATGCAGTTTATACAGGGTGATTCAGAACTTATACAAAAAAATTTGGGAATAGATGCGGCATGAGAAATGGAGTCAATATCGTAAAAAAATTTTTTGTAAAATCCTTATAGTTTCCGAGAGAAAAATTATTGAAGTTATAGTACATTCAACGACTACATGGCTGGACAACTGTAGTCTGTAGCGTCATTCGTAATGCGCGTGGAGAGCCACGTGGCCTCAGCGACTCCGAATACTCAAATCGGATTTTGCAATCGTCGTTGCATTGCAATAGTATTTACCTGTTATCTGTTCAATAGTTTTTTTAGTAGTTAGTGTCAAAAATGGTTTGCGTGTATAGCAACTCGGAGTTCATGGATATCGTTTTAATTTATGGTGAAGCATTTGTGATATGGTGAAGCAAGACAACATTTGTGTTAGTTCGTAGAAACTGAGTAAGACGGACCCAAATGTGTTTACACGTTGGTGGATAAAATTTTGAACAATTGTTGTAACATCGGGTATGTCAAATGATTTTATTATTTAAAAACACAAATTAATTGAATTAATTAATAAAGGCAAAAGCAGTTGAATTTCCCGATATCAAATAGGTGTGATAAAATTCTATTTACATATTTCTTTCCTTGCGAAAGTTTTTGTCCGTTTTTATCACACCGCCATGCCGGTCGTATTGTGCGAGGTCAGGTTTTGCAGTGGACCAGTTTCCAGTGCCGTACAAAAGTGTATTTTTAAATCATTTTCGAACTGCCCTTTTTGATTTTTTCCTTACAAAATTGTATTTGTAAGGGTCCCCTGTACATCCAGAATTTTTTTTGGATAAGTTCTGAATCACCCTGTATATTATTGAAGAAATATGATAATTAAAATTATGAAATGTAACAAATTTAATTTAAGTTTAATAAAATGTTTTTTGCATAAACTAATTTTATGATTTAAAATCTTTGCATTAAATATTTTTTATATCCACAAAAAAGCAATTTTTAAGAAAAAGTAGTTATTAATTTGTTTAATATAGTATATAAAACCATATAACTTTTATTTATTATTGATAAATTAATTTAACATACGTCTTTATTAAATAAAAATGAATTACGTACTCAAAAATAAGTATTAAAAAAATATTGTCATAAATTCAGTAAAAACCGAAAAAAGCAAAGTTTGAACGACTATAATAGTCTATTTTCATCGAAAAATCTTTTGTAATCCATTATTTTGTAGGAAATTTTATATACTTTTTTTTTCTATAAAGCAATGCCTATCTCTGCTCAGAAAATAGTTATTTGCATAAAAGTAAAAAAAACAAATAATTGAATTTTTTGCATTTTTTTGTTAAATTGTTTTTAATATATTTTGCAGTAAATAAATTTTTTAAATTTTTTAAATAAGCTATTTCGATAGAAAATCTCATTATCTACAAAAATTTTCCTATGCAATACCCTCAAATTTTGCTTCGTTTTCGAGATATAATCAAACAAACCGTAAGGGTTACATTTTCATCCCTATCTCCAATTTTCACCCTCTAATTAAATAGCACTCCGCGGTTTTTTCATTCTAAATAACCATATGAACGATTCATGCAATAAAAACCCATCAACGTTGTAGTTCCATACCATATGACATAATCAATAGCCTACTGTACTTACTTACACTTACACCTAATGGTAATAATTTTATTTTTCAGTTCTCATTTTGTACCGCCTTAGACAAATTGGGAATATTAATAGCAGCGGTATGTGCTATTGTCTGTGGAATAGCTCAACCATATATGTTAATAATATTTGGAGACATAACAGGATCCATAGTTTCCTATGTATCGCAGTTGAACGAGACCCTGACTGATGAAGAGAAATACGTTTTGGATGAAGCACTGTGGGTAGATGTGAAAACTTTCGCCATTAATGCAACAGTCATTGCAGTGGTTACTATAATTTGTACTTATGTGTCTGCAGTCCTATTCAGCTACAGTGCTATAAACCAGGCGAGTACGCTTTCAATTTAAAAGGGTTATTAGTACATAGGTCAATTGTATATTAAATTATTTATATTTTGTTAACCACAGGGTGCCTGATACTCCGTGTAGATGGAGCTACTACAGCTTCTTGAGATCCAAATAAGCAGAGGATCGAAAAAAGAATTTTCCCAAATAACTTTGAAAAGCCTTTTTGAAAGAAGATTTTATTGAAATTTTGTACTGTAATACTTCCATATAAATGTCACATTATGGCGTAGTAAACGAGGTAATTGCTTTAACAAAACTGTGAAAAATACCCCTTCGGTTGAATTAATCACCTGTAACCTGAGGGGTTATTTGTTTATTTACCTATATCAATTTGCCAAAGGGTGCTCATAAATTGACATTTACACTTTGATTATGATACGTGGGAAATGTTGACCTTGAACTGAACTTAAACCAGATCTGATCGAGTCAAACTAACACAGGATTCGGATTCGGTGACTACAAAAACGTATAGATACGTAAGTTTAGTTTGTTGACAATTGATTTTCTACATTTGACCTTGAACTGACCTTAAACCAGAGCTAATAGCGTCAAACAGAGACCGGATTCGGAATCGGCGACCCCAAAAACGTATAGATACACAGATTTAGTTTGTACAATAGACCAAATGTTGACCAAATTTCAAAAAGGAGATAATATAATTCTACACGTACTAACTAGTGTGTATACACAATTAGAGATTGAGAAATGCGTCAGAACAGTTTTAAAATAATTATTTAAAACTGATTTTTTTTTTAATTTCAAAACGGCTGTGACGTCATAAGGGACACCTTGTAGTGAAATTATGTGTAAATAATTGCGTAAAGGAAAACAAAACAAGACGCTCTATGAGTTATTTACCTTAATCTTCAAATTCCTTTATTATGTAAAATTATTATTTAGTAATAATCATTTAATAGCTTCCCTTATAATTAACGTAGAATGTGTGAATTGGGATTTGTGAAAGCTACTTCGCAAATTTGATCGAAAATTGATATTTTTATGATCATGAACTGAATTTTTAAAAAGGGACGAGCGTTTTAATATTTTTTATAATTTAAGCAGTCAGGTAAGGATCAACATATTTAATGAATGATTTTATTGTGTTTATTTATATAAAATACCTATTTATTTATGAAAATTTATAGTGCAGTTCGGGAGTCTTATGGAGATAATGCAATTGGCTGTGTGGAATGTGGTACAAAACACCACTTAAATTTTGTTGAATCCATTACAATCAGGAAGTTAATAATAACTATCACAAATACTCTTAATTGTCACTAGTGTCACTTTTGTTTAAAAAACAGGAAACAGGGCAGCAGGGTTTGATGGACAATTTTGACATTGACTTCTTCAAAATTACGCAATAGGATCGCTATTAGCATCTTGTTCAATTGCCCCTTATGACGTCAGATTAGTTTTTAAGTAACGCAAAAATTCATAAATGATTTCTACCACTAATTTGTAATATATTTAAAATTTGACCATACAGGCAGGTTCTTTTATACATATAAAATCTTTGACTCAACAACAATTTGTATATGGTTTGTTTTTATAGTGTACAACCCTATTGATTTTCTGCATTTGACCTTGAACTCACCTTAAACCAGAGCTAATCGCGCCAAACGGACACCTGATTCGGATTCAGCGACTCCAAAAACGTATAGATACATAGGTTTAGTTTGTTGACAATTGATTTTCTATATTTGACCTTGAACTGACCTTAAACCAGAGCTAATCGTGTCAAACGGACACCGGATTTGGATTCAGCGACCTCAAAACCATATGGATACCATGGTCTTGTTTTTCGGACCTGACACTTTTGTTTTTGTGGGGCTATGATATCAGTCACTTACCCGCAATTGCTCACGCAGAGTATAATCCAAGAAGCAGAACTTTCAAGGAAGGTTTTTAATAACAATAACAAGCAAAACAAGTAAACAAGGATGACACAACGGATTCGAATAAACATTTTTCATAATTAGTTTCCACGCAACAACGTAATCCGAGATTCAGGGTCAGCAGATACATAGCAGAATTCTGAAAGACTTTATTAAATTAACTCGAGACTAAACCTAAGTAGACTGTCCAGTGTGGAAGCCAAAGAGAAACTGAACCTTCTTTGGAGGTCTTCCTGGATTCGACACTTCGCTTTGCCCATTTCTTGAGATTAGAAGTTTCTGTTATCATCTTATTGGCCCTTGAATATCGCGACGTTTTAAAAATTATACTATACACCTATCATGTTAATAAGTAACTAATGGCCTCGATTTACATTTAACCCTACCGTGACCCCGTATAACAACCGTATTTGATCTATTGTTCTTTTCCTTATAACACCGTAACAATTCAATATTTTCCTGGAATTCCTACGCCATTTCTAACGTGTTTCCCGCTTATCAAATATTGATTTTTCCTTTGACCAGGGCTAGCTTAGCCCCCTATAGGCGTATCACTTGAGGGCCACATGGCGATAACCTTAAAAGAAGTTTCAGTGGTTGTTTCCTGGAAGATGCCAATAAAAATGTCGGGTTCCAATCGTTCTGAAAATCGCCCCATAAACTGTACGCCTTTGGCTTTTGTTACACAATTCATAATTTAAAAAAAAAATTTGCGTAAAAACTATGAATGCTACAAGATTTTACCAAGAGCACGAAAATCTCGAAAAATGACTGATGCATCAATAAAAATAAAATGAATTAATTCCAGCGACCAAATAAAAAGTTCTGGTAATTCTTGTACCATTAGCCCAAGGCAGATGGACGCGGCTGCTTCATTAAAACATGAGTTTTACTTAGGAACAAGTCCAGCAAGTTTAATTAAAATCCATCGTAACATTCTCCAGATATTACAAAAAACATTTTTTTTTTCAAGAACTTTGACAGTCAATAGCAGAGGAACCAGATATTTTTTCTTAACGGAAGTTAGGTCAAATAGTCTTCTTTTGAGCCAAAGAATATCGCAGTACCTTTTTGATCATGTGCTTATGGGACCCTGTATATTAAAAAACTACAACTGCATATCCAATTTGTACAAAATCCTTCAGTCTGTAATTTAAAAAAACAGTTAAAAAAATGTATAATATCCTGTAGCGTCTGCAAACCGCGTATGTAGGAACTTTTTGGTTTATATGCGATGTAAAATACGCCTTTGGCCAAAGATTTCAGTTACACCCTGCATCAATATTTCAGTATCTATAGATTCAAAATATTGCATCATTTATTTCCTGAGAATGTAACAAGGAATATAAATATTTAACTTTTTGATACATGTATTTGTTATTAATAACTTTTTTATTTAGCATTCTTATTTGTACATTATTATGGGGAGTATACTACTGAGTTGTTTAAAAATATGATTAAAAAAGATATTTTATATGTATAAGGCATTATTATCAACACCTATTGTTTTAGATATTCAAAATGCGGCAGAAGTTTTTAATGAAAATACTAAATCAGGATATAGAGTGGTTCGATATGAATCAAACTGGAGACTTCGCAACATCTTTTACACAGTAAGTATAGGTACTGGATATTTTTAATAGAAATTTAAAGTTTTTTGTGTTTCATTTATACAAGATGACACGCATATACTTAGAAAATGTAAATACTTAAGAAATTTAAACTTTTAGCATGTATTTCCTTTAAACATAACACTCAAACTATCCGCATCCACACCACTGCTTTGGGAATAAATTTGTTTCTTATGACATAATATTTAATCGTGAACAAATTTTGATATCTTTATCTTCACCCGATTTAAAGATAATTAAGAAAAACGCTCTTCAAAGTAACAAATTTAATACCCATTCTCCAAGAGCAACTTGGCCCCTAGTTTTTTTGAAGTACAAACTGTGCACCTTTTTGAATAAAGATAAATATAGGGTGATTCACACATGGTGACCAAAAATGAAACCTCGTATTCTTTTGTGAATTTTAAGGGGCCTTTCCTGTAATGTTTTCATCTAGGCCGTTTCGTTAAAAACATAAAGGGTGTGTTCTCAGTTCGTTTTTTAAGTTTTACTCGAAAATCAAGTTTTTTTCGAAAAACATAAGAGAGTAGTAGTTTGTAGAAAAGTGAAAGATGAATCCGAAAATATAATGGTTGTTACCGTAAAGCAGTGGCGTAATATTTTATTTAGAAAAATATACCACCAATACCCTGTATCTCCGCCATCGGAGCATGTAAATTTTAGGAAAAGCCCTTAAATTTTGGACAATGTTTACATACATGCCCAATTTCAAATTATTTCACTTACTAGTTTTTAAATTAATTAAAAAAATTAAAATTTTTTATTGAAGTTTAACACCCCCCTGTATCTGTTTAACGAAGTGTCCTAAATAAAAACTTTATACGAATGACTTAAAATTCGCCAAAGAATACGAGGTTTCATTTTTTGTCAGCATTTATGAATCACCTTGTATTATTCGTGTTTCCGAAAGGGAACAATTTATTTTTAGAAGTTTAGGCCTCATATTTCAATAAAATTATATTGTTTTTGTAACAACGTATCTGTATTAAAGCTGATATTTAATTTTTTGAGTTTCAAACCAAGAGCTTATCTGCTATCTTTAATCCGATTTATTGTTATAAGCCTGCATGTCTAATATTTACCATTTTCATTAACTCTTCACTAGAAATTATTGCACGCTTTCTCTGCTTAATAAAATCGATGGCAAAAGTTTCATCCTATCTTTACAGAGTACACATGTAAACTACGTAACTAATTTTTTTCATAACTCATAGTAATTTATTCCATTTTTAAGATTTAAAAAAATGGCGAAGGAGCTGGTCATACAATATGCGAATACACGGAAATCACGAAATATTAATATTAAAGTGAATTAAAAATAATTTTGTTTTAAAATCTAGAGAAATTACAGCGTGTTCTGCTTATTATTGGATAATTCTGTTTGTAAACTCAATTAAGAATTACGAAGAATAAGAGCGAATTTGATTTTCTAAGTATACCTACTCATAAAAATTTTACGTAGGTCAGTGGTTATTTTGACGTCATTGTAGGTAATATAAGGTTACATCATAAGTACAATTTTTGTGTAATTCACCCAAAATGTACATTTACGTCCCTAAAGTGTAATTTTTCTAAGAACCAGGGAAACTATATAGTATTTTCAAGAAGAAAAAAATATTATAATATTTTTAGTCATCTAAAAGAGTTGATCAAGTCAAATTAAATTTGGTGCGTAATAATAAATAGTAGTTTTTTCTGAAAGAGAGTAAATTATACAGAAAAGAACTCTTATATTTTTTCCAAAAAATTTCAAAATGTAATTTAAGAACTTTTTAAAACGACATAATGCAAATTACAGTATAAAATTTGATAACACACAATTAACACAAAATTTTACTTTTTCCTCATAACATATGATTTATTAATATTTATCGCCATGGTAGCGTAGTCGGTTGACAGTGCGGTGGCAAGCATTTCTCGTCCAGGCTTCCTATTCTGGTCCGGGTTCTATCCCTGGCGTCGGCGCTGGCAATGTCGATGGATAATGGGTGTTTCTCCGTTTTCCAAGTGTAGCCCCCTTCCGCACAGCCTTTGGCTTTGGATTTGGGGGTTGTCTCATTTCTGTGGTGTGTTTTATGTTTTTTTACTCGAAAAAGTAATATCATCCTTTAAATTTTTATAAAAATACGAGTTAACTCTTTATATAAAGAGTATGTTGTATTTACAAAAGAAAATATTTTTAATTTATGTTCAAATAAATGTAGAAATAGAAAGCGCTCGTCATCTCTATGACGAGGCTTATTCCAGTTGTCCAGTTCCCTCCGAGTATTGACCAGACTTAGTCAACGGCTCCGGACGGTTGAAGACCTACATTTGTTTCCACAGCCAATGTAGAAGAGCAATGTTTGGAGGAAGTGGCTCATGTAGCTACTAGCCACCCTTTTGTTTAGAGAACCGTCAGGAAATAACCACTGTATCCGCACCATAACCAACATGTGCAAGCATTCAATGCACAAGACTGTCATCTAGACTAATATTTTGTAAATAGGTTTTAGAGAACACCTGCCTTATTTCTCCTTTCACCAGTTCGGAAATATCTTAATTGGGTAAAGGTGGATTGGATATTGTTCAATATTCGTTAATTTTAGCAATTTAATCATATAATTAATTTTAGTCCCAATTTAATAAGTATTAATATGATTGTATTCAAAATAACCTGCATTACTGATTGTTTCTTATTAGAATTTTTTTCTACATTTTTTTTTAATTCCGAATTAAAACCTCCTATTTGTGATTAGGGACTGTGAAAACAACAAGTTTCAGTCATAACTTTCAAATTTTGAATGCTTTTCCGAGTGGGACTCTGGTCTGTAGGTGGTTTCCAACACTTAGAGGGATAAGTTATACTATATTTTTTTGATATGTTGTCTATTAACCTACATTTATATATGGTGGCCTAATTAAAACAGTCCACCTGAAATATTTTCACTACAACAGGTTTTTCCGGAAAATCCCGAAACAAGTCGACTTTGCTTTCAAGGTGGACATCTTTTGATCATAAATTCGTGGATATAGGGTTAACCCCCTAAACGGGGTGGCAACCCCTTCAAGAATCTTGAATGGCACATCATTTTAAAGGTATTTCAATTCCCTTTATGCTGAAATTTTTTTGTTGCGGATATTTTTGTTATAAAACTTAGTTGCTAGGTGGATTTAAATAATGAGTAAGTAATAGCATATTAATATATTACCAGCAAGGTATCGATTGTCAAGATGCTATGATTGTCCTTCTTTTTCCCTCCTGCTACTGGTACTGAAATTATCGTTACGAGAATGGAATCGGGGTATGGTCGTTGTTAGCCTCCTGGCAACTGGATCTCGCCTTATTATAAATATTAGCAAAATCAGACGCATATAAAAACAGTTAACAACTTTATATTCATTAGTTTACACGTTTGGCTATAAAAAGCTACAAATTATGGAACAGCATCATCAAATAAATATTGATAATTAAGTACTACAGTGAAAAAACGTGTTAGCTAGTGGGGCACTGATAATTAAAATTTATGGCGATACTTTATGTTTCCACTGTCACACCAGGCTTGAAGTAACGATAGGTTGCTTGAAAATGACGATAAAATTGGCCAACGCCATCGTATTTGATATCGATTATACATTAAAAAAATGCTTGGTTTAAAATCCTAGCTGATCCTGTTTTGAAGATATCGATATTTTTCATTTTTCAACCATGCTGTAAAATTTTATTTAGCATAATTTAAATGAAAGTCATTGATACATAAAAACATTTATTATTTATATATATATATATATATATAGATGTTGTAAGAAGTCATTTTTAAAGAAAATATTGTGTATGATATACTGGAAACGATCTCCCAAGTAGATCTTCTACAATTATTATTGTAATACATTTATTGCCAGATTTCCTCCTTTAGTTCATGGATTAAGAACGAAACTCCAGGAGGATGTTCTAATGTGACAGCAATGATCGTGAAGCTGCTGAAAAATGATGTCAATATGATATGAGAGAATTATCAATCTTTCTAGGGTTAATTTTGAAGGTTTTATAAACATTAAAAGATGAGATAATTTAAAATGAAAATTTTTCAGTAGGATACTTCTATAACAAGTAAAAATTATAGGTTTTATTTATTTTTTCTAGTTTATGGCAATAAGAGGCCTATATCGTTTGTTGATAATCATCAAGAATTGGAGTTTGATAATACGCAGAGTTTAATGGCAAGTATTCGGCGGACCNAATTTTAACGGACATTGAAATTTCAATATAACTGTGGTAAAAGGCAAAATTCCATAGTGAAATATAAAGTTAAAAAAGTTAAGATAAAAAAAGTAAAGCGGAATCTATATTAAATGATATAAATAAATCTTCATTACGTAAGAAATAATAGCGTTTTGTATTTAGCGCGCATTTAGTAGAAGAGTACCTACGAGTCAACCAAGATAAGCATTGTAAATATAATGCATCCCAATAGCTGGCTGTACGGCATGCAATGTTGCCACATCAATTGAGTTTGTAATATGCTTGATTCGGATAAAATATACAGTAAACGTATACTACAATTCTCCATCAAGCGGCAGAATCGTGAACTAAAATATACAATTTTGATCATATTCCTAACATTACCACCTCATGTAAATTTTTTTGTATCGGCCTATTAGAACTCTAACTCTTGAATAAAAGAAAACTATAATATTTAACCTTATGCAACTTTAATGGGAGCTTCACGCACAGTCAACTAAACCTAAATAATGTTGATACATACGAAGAAAACAGGGTTGACATTAAGGCGTCAGATATACTGGTGCCCTAAATCGCCTGAGGCCTTAATGTATGGGCGATGCATGCTATCTGAGGCGCTAAAGATAGTAGGATATATATATATATCCACACAAATAACAAATATTTTTATTTATGTATCAATGACTTTTTATTTAAATTATGCTAAATAAAATTTTACAGCATGGTTGAAAAATGAAAAATATCGATATCTTCAAAACAGGATCAGCTAGGATTTTAAACTAAGCATTTTTTTAATGTATAATCGACATCAAATACGATGGTGTTGGCCGATTTTATTGTCATTTTCAAGCAACCAATCGTTGCTTCAAGCCTGGTGTGCTGTGAGGGAATCATCAACTATCAACTATTTTTTTTCCTTTGACTGAATACTTCTTTCGTTTATTATATTTTGTATGTAATGTTTAATTTCCAAACATGAAAAAAGGAACCGAATTATAAGATAAAATCTCGCCTTCAAACGCTCTGCAGAGAGCTGTAGTTGGATACCTCTTCACTATTTTTTGTATCTATTTCACTGTGTTTATGCTCTTTTGGGACTGCTCTTTAAACTTGGCCTTATCTCTTAGGATCTGCACACGGGCAAATTCTGGAGAGGATTGGACTCTAGATGGTTGGTCTAGGTCCCGAGTGATACGCTTGCAAAAATTATTTAACAATGTTCTGCATTGAAAAACGTTTATTACTGCAAATGTTTATAATGAACCTTATTTTTTTGAAGAAAATTTAAATGGAGAACGCTACTTAGACTTTCTTCAGTTTGAACTCATCCCCGCTTTAGCTGTTGTGTTTCCTAATCCACAAGATCCAGATATTCCTCATAATGACATATGGTTCTAACACGATGGGGTATCTCCTCACTTTGCAATTGCTGTTCGACAATTTCTTGACTTAACTTTCCCAATAAATGGATTGGACTCCGAGGTCCTATGGAGTGACTACCAAATGTTTATTACTGCAAATGTTGATAATATATGTGTCTCGAGCACCACTTTAGGTGCTATACAATACAACTATGTGATTAAAGCTGAAATTGGAGCAATCCAGAAGAAAATGTCTGTAACCACTCTAACTATCTAACTACTCTAACTCAGACGCCATTCTTATACATGTTTAACCAAATGGAATGATAACAGAAAATGTTAACTTAAAAGAAGGTTTCATGAACAATTTGCATATTGGCGTTTATTCCTTTGTTGCTCCAGTATTTACAACTGAAAATATTAACTACGAAAATAGTAATTTCAGACATACCTCTGTCTTTCAAATCATATTATCTCGACAATTAATATAAATATAATGGGCTCATATTTGCAATATGTTACAAATAATTAATTCATTTTAAATAAATAGTTTAGTTAAGTATTATTCAAATCAAACTATTTTAAATAACTATTTTCCCATGAATATTTTACAGAAACATTTCGAAAATTGAAGACGGTATAGGTGAAAAAATCGGAATATTTCTTTACTTCGAATCAACATTTGTATCTGGTATAATTATGGCTTTGATTAAAGGGTGGAAGTTGGCTTTGGTATGTATGGTATCGTTGCCACTATCGACTACTATAATGGGCGGTATTGCTTGGGTAAGTATACTCTTTAACTAGATCTATGAAATACACAACGATTTATTTGAGTGACGAAAAAATATTGTTCGATGTTCCCACTAGAAAAAAAAAAGTAAAAATGAAGACAATAACTAAAATTCAAATGTAAGAATCGCCATAAATTCAGACAGTCACAGAAGAACGTGTAAAACCCAAGACACAGAAATGGTTGCAAGAAAACTATTCTCACCAAAATTAATATTTGCAGTGAAGTACACAATAGACAAAACAATTGAATATCCGTTTATAGTAAATTCTTAGACATTTTGACCAAACTTTAAAAAATTGAATATCTGAGATGATTGTTATAAAGGTTTTAGATGTTTAGGTCATAAATTATGATGAACGGAACAAATTCGTTTAAAAATCAGGTACCTAATTATTGTGTGGAATACTGCTCAGACACGTCGATTAGTATTTTTAGTTGCGGACTTTTTGACATAAGAAAATTGTATACAGAGTATCCCAAGAAGAACATATCAGTCATCATTGATTTTTTTTAATGGAACACCCTGGATATTATGCCATTTTTGATTTCTACGGTAAATTCTGAACAGGTTTTGTATCATATCTCTAAATTCAGCATATTTTTTTAAAAGCCAACAAAAACAACCTGGTATGCCAAATTTTATCTTAAACAACACAATTTTCTTCGTATTAATCGTTTTTCATTCCTTGACCCCTATATCTTTTTTAATGTAGTATTTTGTGACAAAAAAAACAAACTATCACCGGCGTTTAGTTTGTTAGTGTCATTTTGACCAGCAGAAATATCAGAACTAGTCGTTTTACTAAAAACTGTAAATAATCCCCATGTAGCCGTTAGGATAATCTTCAGGAATTGTCATTTGTCATCGGGATATGTGTCATAAATACTCCGAAAAAATAAATATCATCCTTACAATGTTCAATTGATACATGAACTATTAGAAGACGATTTTGACCGAAGAACGTAGTTTTGTGAGGAGATAATTGAGACGAATAATCAAAACTTAGATTTCAACCGAAAGATTATTTTTTCTAATGAGACTACTTTTGTTTTAAATGGACATATAAACAGACAAAATTTCAGGTACTGGGCAACTAAAAATCCTCGTTGGACACAAGTCTGTCACGCACTGCATCGTCAAAAAATAAATTGGACGGGTATTCTCGAAAACCGAATTTTTAGACTTTATTTTTTTGAAGAAAATTTAAATGGAGAACGCTACTTAGACTTTCTTCAGTTTAAACTCATTCCCGCTTTAGCTGTTGTGTTTCCTAATCCACAAGATCCAGATTATTCTTCATAATGACATATGGTTCCAACACGATGGGGAACCTCCTCATTTTGCAATTGCTGTTCGACTTGATTAACTTTCCCAATAAATTGATTGAATCCTATTGTGTGACCACCAAGGTCACCGGATTTAACCCCTTTAGATTTCTTCTAATGGGGTTATTTGAAATCTAAAGTTTATGTGAATAAACCAAATAATCTTGATGACCTGAAACGGAATTCGCAAGGAAATAAAACTTATTCTAGCAGAGGTAATTGAAACTGTTCAACGGGAAACAATCCTTCGACTACAAAAATGTATTGAAGTAAACGGACAAAACATTGAACATTTATTATAAAACAATTTTTATTTAAATAATGTTTTATGATTAACCATTTTTTTTTCATTTATCACGTTTCAAACGTCATTATTACAAAAAACTATGAATTTAGAGATATGGTATGTTATACAAAAAGTGTTTTACCGTACAACTTAAAAATGGCATAATATACAGTGTGTCCCATTAAAAAAAATCAATGACGACTGCGTATGTTCTTTTTGAGTCACCCTGTATACAATTTTCTCATGCCAATAAATCCGCATCTAAAAATACTAATCTACGTATCCGAGCGTTTTTTCACAAAATTTGTTCCTTTCATCGTGAACGCACTTTAGAGATGATTTTTTTCGTCCAATTATCAATTTTACATTGATCCGAATTTTGCAGATATCAAATAAATTTTCTCGTGAAGAACTTGAATCTTACGGAGCCTCAGGGTCCATAGCCGAGGAAGTTCTAAGTGCCATAAGAACTGTTGTAGCATTCGATGGGCAAGAGAAGGAAATAAGTCGATATAACAAACATCTAGTTTCAGCCAAGAAGAATAACATCAAACGGGGTATATTCAACTCACTGAGTAATGGTTGCTTATGGTTCTTCGTATACGGTTGTTACGCTTTATCGTTCTGGTATGGTGTAGGGCTTATCATTGAAGAGAGAAACTTACCCCCTCAGGATAGAGTTTATACTCCTGGAAATATGGTTTCTGTAAGTTGACTCCTTATGTAATCATTTCAAAATAGTAGCCATTAGGATTTTCCTTGATTCCAATAAAACAATGATCCTTGAAAGTAATTTGAAATAAAAATAAGTTCAGTCAACGACTTGTCAAGGTGCGTGGTATTATTGTCTTTGATTGATTCTTTTGAAGCAAGGGTTTGTTTAGTTAATTTTTTTATTTCTCTCACCGAATATATAAAGAAAAACAGAAAACTATGATATGCTACAACTAAATAACTTAATAAGATATAAACTAACGACATTATTTTTTGAAATCCACATTTATCCACCACTAAGGTATGTGATATTATGGTGACATTTACTGATTTCACATGGTACATGTTATACCAGAGTAAAGGTTCGTTTTCTTATTTAAATAAATTATGGACTTATTTTGATGATGTGAACTTTATTCGAGGCAAATACAAATAAATTTGGCCTTCCCTACAGGTATTTTTTGCTACTCTAGTAGCTACATGGAACTTCGGAATGGGTGCCCCATTTCTAGAAGTATTTGGTGCTGCAAGAGGAGCAGCCCAAAAAATATTTTTTGTATTGGACAGCGAGCCGAAGATTAACCAATACAAGAATTGTGGTAAGCAACCGGATAGATTTCGGTCCAATATTACGTTTGATAACGTCTACTTCAAATATCCTGCTAGACCTGATGTGAAGGTATGTAGCATTATAACGATTTTAATAAATGTTAGGATTCTGTGTTTGACCCTAGTTACCTTTGTGATGGAAAAGGCTAATATACTTTTTGAAATTTACACTTTCATTGTCAGTAACTTGTATTAAATATTTCCTCTTCTTTCTACCCTAATGTATGCTGTATTGTATATTTACTTGTAGGTATTACAGGGTTTCAATCTAAAGATTAACTATGGTCAAACGGTTGCTTTAGTGGGTAGCTCTGGATGTGGAAAATCTACTTGCATACAACTCCTTCAGCGATTTTATGATGCAACCTCAGGGAGTGTAAGTTCACTATGAATAAAATTATATACATGGAATGTCAAAAAGTATAGGCCAATAAATAGAGGTTTTGTTTGTAACAAAAATACTACTATAGAAACGGACTATGGCATCATATAAAAGACAGTCTGTAGATATATCCATTAATTAATTTTCTATAAACATTTTTATGCAAGCAACAAATTTTTTTAGTTTTTGCTTATAAAACCTAAACTAACGAAGCAATCTAAATGCTATAAAGAGACAATTTGTAGATAATCGAAATACAAATAAAACGGGAGGTCGATCGATCCGATCGGATAATTAGAAACGAAGAAAACCCGGAAAAATCGGAAAGTTTAGCGTTTTTTAATAATTGCTTCATTAGTTTAGGTGCATAAGACAAAAAAAATGAGTTTTTTGCATAAAAATGTTTATAAAAAATTGACCAATGGTAAATTGGGGAAGGAAACATATAAGTATATATCAACAGACTGTCTTTTATACAGTGTGTATCAGCCAAATGGAATAAATTCATAATAATAAATCGATTGGTATTTTTAGTTACGCACTTTTTTCAACAAAAACTTTTTATACAGGGCGTGTCATGTAATAGTGGTCAATACCAACTTTCTTATTTTAAATTCAATATCCCGTATATTATTCAATTTTTGGATTCTTCAGAAAATTCTAGACATATTTGATGTAAAATGTTCTACACCTATCTTCAACTGTTTCGGAAATATTACCTAATTGTTTTCAGATTTATTGCAAAAATTAACATTAAATAAAGAAAATTATTTGATAACAGAAATTCGCTACAACACACTCAAAAACTAATAAGTAATACTATTTATTTATTGATAATGTAAAAAAGCAAAAAAACTTTAATGTCAATGTAGATGTTCAAAATGCTCGCCGCGAACGTATTGGCAACATTCTAATCTTAAATAGAAATCTAACGTTATCTCAGGTGTGATCGATCTAATCGCAAACGTTATTCGTCTTCTTAAGTCAGCGAAGTCGAGGTGTTTAGTTTTGTATACAATACTTTTGACAGATCCCCATAAGAGGAAGTTTAATGGTGTCAGATCAGGGGATCGTGTTGACCATTCCATCGATCCTCGCCTCCCTATCCATACCACCGATTTGGAAATATTCGGTAGAGGTACTTACTGCCGGAAATTGATTTGGTAATAGGGCGGTGCTCCATCTTGCTGAATCCATATCATATTCTCTGGAACTTGTGTGTTTGCTGGATCAGGATATAAGTTTGTCAAAGTTAGCACGACATTATTTTGGAGCAATGCTAAATAATTATCGCCATTCAAATAGCCATTAATGAAAAAGGGACCTATGATATGATCTTCAACAATTCCTGCCCAATTATTAACCTTTTCAGGGTATTGCGTACGTTCTTCTGTAATCCATTGAGGATCTTCCCTAGACCAATAGCGGCAATTTTGACGATTAGCATGACCGAAGTGTAAAGGTGCACTCTTCAGAAAACAAAACATGTTCTCACAGGACAGGATCACATTGTTATCCAACATTGTCATCAATTTGTTCACAAAAATACGTTCTCCAATCAAAATCGTCTTCCATGAGCTCCTGAGTTGGTTTCATTTTATAGGGATGCATTTTATTTTCTTTTAGTATTCGATTAATCGATGAATGGCTAACATCGAACGTTGGGGCTGTTTTTCGACTAGAAGTATGTGGATTTTCCTCAAACTCAGGCACAATATCCAATTTGGTATCATCACTTATTGGAAATCTTTCATGAAATAAGCGAGCAACTTCCATTTGTGTCGGTGTGCTATCTCCATAACCAATCATCTGTAGAATTGTTAGCTTGTGCATTTCTGTTAAATGAACCATTTTTCTGATGTGCAGTTAACGAAATTCAAACGACTATAACACTGACAACTACTGTCATGCAGGCAGACAACACGTTACTAAGGCCAAGCATTTTAAACAAACGTAAGCAAAACTATTTATAATTTTTTTATATTTCATATCAGTAAAAAGGAACGCTAAAATGGTTTTTGCTTACTTTTTTTGAGTGTGTTGTAGCGAATTTCTGTAATCAAATAATTTCCTGTTTTTAATGTTAATTTTTGCAATAAATCTGAAAACACTTATATTATTGAAACAATTGAAGATAGGTACAGGACATTGTACATGAAATATATCTAGAATTTTCTGTTGAATCCAAAAATTGAATAATATACAGGATGTTTTTAAAATAAGAAAGTTGTTGTTGACCACTATTACATGACACCCTGTATAAAAAGTTTCTGTTGAAAAAAAATACGCAACGAAAAATACCAATCCCCGTGTCCAAGCGTTTTTTCGAACACGCCCCCATTTGTTTATTTATTTATTCCATTTGGCTGATACACACTGTATGATGGCACAGTCCGTTTGCTACTAGTATTTTTGTCACAAAATCACTGATTTAATGCTCTATTGATTGGCTAGTAGTGTAAAAAGCTTTGTTCATGAAAACAAGAAATGGAGAACTCATACCATCTAAAATCTACTACAAAACAGCAGAATAAATATGAAACAAGAAAGTTTTTTGAGTATGTTTGAGTTTGAGTATGAAAATATTTTGTTGAGTGTTTAAATTTTAAAACAAAACAATCAAATATATTTTTTAAATAATTCCAGCAGACTTCATAAATTACGAATAGTTTGCTAATCTAAGAAAAATTAACTATTGGAGCTTCAAACAGTTTGTTATTTTAGTACTTATATATATTATTACAGATCTTTATCGACAATAACAACATAAAAGACATAAATTTATTGTGGCTAAAAGAGAAAATAGCCGTTGTGAGCCAAGAACCCGCCCTGTTCGCGACAACGATTGCAGAGAACATTAGATATGGCAAGTTGTCCGCCACTCAGAAGGAAATAGAGGAAGCTGCAAAAAAATCAAACGCACACAAATTCATTTTGAGCTTACCTCACGGTTATGAAACGTTAATAGGGGAGAGAGGGGCACAGCTGTCTGGGGGACAGAAGCAAAGAATAGCCATTGCTAGAGCTTTAATTAAAAAACCGGATATATTACTGCTGGACGAGGCAACTTCAGCTTTGGACACTACAAGTGAAGCGGAAGTACAAGCAGCATTAGATTCAGTATGTATAAAGTATTATTATTATATATTAAAATTATTCCTTTAAGCTTCCTTAAAGTTACTCAATTAAGTCAATCTAATTTAAAATAAGTTCATGTATATTTAAAAAAAAAACAAGCTTTTAGTGACGTTATCTTATTTTTGTGCATGGGGGTGCATAAAAAATAACTGGTCCGCCATCTTCGGGAGTCCGCTATATTGGATTTAGAAAGACGTCACTTAGCTAACCATGCATTGCCATCCAAACTATACGTATATGCAAAATTTCAGCTCTATCGGTTAGGGTTAACTGTTTTAAAATTCAGTGCAAGATTTGACCCGTAAGTTAAATAAAAGCTTGTAAAAAGCTTGTAAAAAAACACTTCTAAACTCATCACCATCAAAGGAAAGCATATATCTATCTTCTGTGATAATTTACTAAAAATAACTAGTAAGAAATTGTATAAAAATTATAGATAATGTTTTGTTTAATATTGTAGGTACTACCGAAAATAATTATTCCTAAATTCAGAAATATATTAATTAATATGCCGTGGTTAAATTTTGTGTTAACCTTTGTCAAAATGGTCAGAAAAACTAATTTAATATGCAGGCTTTTGTGGTAGTTGTCAACGTTTAAACAGTTTTCAATGTGGCTTTTACATTTCTCTACAGTTCTTTTCGTCAGAAGAAACTAAAAATAATGTCCTCTGGTCTGTATTTATATTTTCTGTATTCTTCCACAATATTCCAGTTACAAGCCACTGGCTTGATTATTTACGCTCCCAAATTCTAAGTAGTTCTGAGCTATCGTCTCGGTGCAAATTGTTTATAATAATATGTATATTTGTATTGCTTCTCTGCAAAGTGGGTACTGATCAAAACACGTAGGTATTGTATTTTCAAAACCGAGAGAGTTGCACTAACAAAATTTTGGACATAACATAGCTAATACAATGCGAAACATCGCCTTAATGTTAAAAATGCTGTCACCGCTGTTCTTGGTGGTGAAAATTCGAAATATTTGAAATTATTCAATTTTTGTGGTTGAAAGCAATGTATTTTTGAAACCGGGTGACTTGCACTAACCAAATTTGGACAGGACATAGCTAGCAGAAATAGACATCACCAACACTATTGTACATCGAATATGCACCATCTGCAAGCGAAAACACTTGGACGAAAACTTCATCATCTATGATCGACACTCAGAGGAAATGGATATATAAAAATATTGAACAAGCCTACAGGAAATCTACCCATGATCAAGGAAAGGAGGAATATGTGACAACAACTTATCTACTCTTTATACGAGCATACCCTAACAAGATAAAGTATATATTGGACATACAGAGAGACAAGTTTGCAGCACGATGTTAAACAAGCAGAAGTCCAACCTAAAAAGTGAGGAAGTTGTGAAGGACAGGTCAGATACAGGTAAATCAGTTGACCTTAGTGAAAGTAAAGTTCTACCAAGAGAGAGAAGATTTGCCACGAAAGAAGCAATAAGCATCGAAAAGAATTAAAATCATTTAAGTTGAAACTAGAGCTTAGAACTTTCTGGAATTTGAACATAAAATTAAGTAAATACAACAGTAACTTCAAATAACGCGCCGATATATCAAGGGTCAGTACACACAGCAATACAAATACTAAAGAAAACCATATGTTTCTCGAAACCGCATGACCTCTAAACCAATGACGTGGTACCGATACTCAATTACTCATTAGATAGTGGGACATAATGTTACTGTTAAATTGCTTACTATCTTGTATACGAAGTAATTTTTTTAACTTACTTCTATCAACGGAACTTATGTACGTCTTTCTATAATTTTTAGGAAGATGATAATGATGATGAAATTAAAACTGATTACGAATATTAATTAATAATAATTAATTGGAATTAGGTTAATATCTTTAAGGGCGTAAAAGTACAAGACCTGATAATGCAAGCATATAAAACAAAAAAGTGATATGTTCTTTTGATCATTGGTATGTTCTCGGACTTCAACACTCACCATTTTCGAAAAAAATGCCTTAGAAATCCTCAAGAAATTGGTTATTTACGAATATGCCCAAAAATTGCAACATAGTGAGAGGACTCCTATATTTTCGGACCTGATGAAAACGAGATGGAATACGAAGAGAGATGATGACAGTGAAGATGAATATATACAATCCGTAAATGTTTAGTCAGACTTACCAATGACTGAGCTAAATATTTAGCTAGAGAAATGAAAAAGAAAAATCTTCTGTCTGAAGGAACCAAATCTTTTGCGTATCGATCATGTGAAACAAGTTTTAGGAAATATTTTGCTTCAGAGGCCTAACAAATAAATTAAAATAAATCGTTTACGAAGACAACGAGTGGATGTTTTTATTCACTCCTCAAAATGAAACTTGAAAGTAGTTCTACTCGACAAAACTGAAAAGAACTATGATAGTATGAAGTACGCCTTAGAAAAAATAAGATATTCAGATTTTAAAATAATTATTATCATTACCTTGGGATAGCAACTGGAATTTTCTAAGTATCCCTAGTTCCTGTGTTTATTGAACAGATAGAAGAATCGCTACGACCAAAAAGATTGGCATAACTGAAAGGATCTGAATCCAGGATCTTTTAGCATTCCTCAAGAATCTTTATAAGACCCATCCAAGGTTCTGCACATGATAAAATAATTAGTTGAGATTTTGGACAGAGAAGGTGAATATTACTGATGCTTCGGAAATAAATTTCAACAAATCAACAATGCTAAACAGAGTATAACCTATTCTACGGACCTCATATTTGTACATTGTTGTGTGTGAAAGTTTCTTATTGAAAATTAATGAAATTGGAAAGATTGCATGGCAAGGTTTCAAAAATGTGACAGAAAACTTTTTGGGTAATAAAAAAGTGACACACTAACCGCGTAAATGGTACATAATTTCAGAGAACTTGGAATACATGGATTATTTCCGCGATAACTTGGGTGACTATGATTACACCAAGATTAAAAGGAACTGCAAAAGATTATAGTCCAAGAGCTAGCTACGTGTGGACTGCACTGATCGACTATAGTTATGATTTTTTGTTAAAAGTTTGTTATCACATTGACAAAGCCAGAGCCCATCAGTCAGAAGCCGCTCCAGAGGCGGAGAGCGTGAACGGGCGGTTAAACGCGTAATGTTTTGTCAATAAAAAAATAATCGAATATAGTCTTGAAAACTGGTACACTTATAGATTTTAAGTGGATAAACACAGAAAAAATATCGTCAGAAGGCTAGGTGGTGGCTTAAGCACTCTCAGAAGCGATAAAATAGTAAATTGTGAATTGAAAAATAAATCACAATATATAGTTCTGACATTTTGTTTATTGTTAAGTCAAAAGTGAGGCTAATAGTTAAAAAAACATTATTTATCACTGCGCGTGCAAATTTTGCCGTGGTTGTTATGCCCAGCGTTTTTGATCTTTTATTGTTAATAAATGATTAAGTACAGTTCTAGCATTTTACGTAGCCAATCTTTATATTATATATGTTTCTTATAACGAAACAACAGAAGTTTACTCAGAGGTTAAGGCTATGCCAGAGCTACATAAGTTTAAGTGCAATCGAATAAATTGCTATATTTTTTTTATTTGGTAATATTTGTTTTCACAATGGTTTTAAATTGGTTTTTCTACCGAAATACGCACAGTGCATTTTACTCTGAATCGCAATCTGATGATTCGTCCTGAGTACCATCATCGCTGCTGTACTTTACATCTGTCATTTTTTTTGTCATTGTAACTGCAATTGAAAACACACACTTTAACACTCGCCATTGTTGGTGGCTTAAAAATTTATCAATACACGAAAAATCTAATGCATAAGCAGTGAACGCTGTTAGAGGTGTGACTGGAGCGAAAATCAGAAGCGAGTTGACGCTTGGTTACTATTTTGAAAGCCATGCCAGAATAACGGTCTGACTACACAGGCCGACAAAAGAAATCCTGTGTTTTTGAGACGTGAACCTACCCTTCTTTAGTAAAATTGTCCACTGAATCCGAAAATGATAAAAAGAAAAATTTATGGACTCTCTCCCACACACCCTCAATTCCCCCCAAACATTTAAATGCTCATCCAACTTACCTTTAGTAAAATTCGCTAAATCCGAAAATTGCAAAAAATTGTGTGGACGTGAGGGATCTCCCCTGCTCATCCGTATCTCTCACTTGTTTCTTTCAAAAATAAAAATAAATACAAATCAGACGTGGCAACCGTTATAACTTTTATAAAATCTGTCGTTAAAACCAAAACTGAATAATATTGATGAACTAAGTTTCTTTTGCTCGTACACTTAACCTCGCCCCCCAGATATCATTTACAAATTACGGTTAGCATCCTAGGACTGATGAAATTTTTCAGTAAAAGCTTACTATTTTCCAAAAGCTCTTAAGTAACATTAAGCTAGTAGCATGAAGGTATTTTCTAAAACGTTTTAGCATTTTAACTTCGCATTCAATTAAAATGCGAGTTCAAGCCCTGGGGCCACATCAAGGCGTCTACCAACCCAGAGTAAGTTATAACCTGGATTTAGAAAATACCTACCTAGCTTAAAGTTACTTAAGAGCTTGAAACATTTTGGAAAACAATAAGCTTTCAATGAAATATGTCATCAATGCTAGGATGCTAACCGTAATTTGAAAATGCTAGCTGGAGGTGAGGTTAAGTGTACGAGCAAAGGGAGATTTTAGTTCAATAATATTTTTTAGTTTTGGTTTTATCGACAGATTTTAGTTATAACGGTTGCCACGTTTGATTTGTATTTATTTTTATTTTTGAAAGAAGAAAGTGAGAGGGATCCCTCACGTCCAAACAACTTTTTTGCCATTTTCGGATCCAGCGAATTTTACTAAATATAAGTAGATTGTATGACCAGTTTGGATTTTTTTGCATTTTTAGGGGGAATTGAGGGTGTGGGGGCAATCCATACGTCCGAACTTTTTTTATGAATTTCGGATTCAGCGAAAAATTTTACTAAGGATCGGTAGGTTGGATAGCCAGTTTGGATTTTTTTAATTTTTGATGAGAATTGAGAGTACGTGAGAAAAATCCATACGTCAGAAAATTTTCTTTTTATCTGCTTCGGATTCAGCGGGAAATTTTTCTAAAGATAGGTCATGTCGCAAAAACAAACAATTTTTTTTGTCGGCCCGTGCTATTGTCTTGCGCGCTATACTTGACTCTGGCATAGTCTTAACCTCTGACTAAACTTCTGTTGTTTCGTTATAACATAAATATATATGTAAAGAGTGGTTATGTAAAATGCCTGAACTATATTTATTCATTTCTTAACAATAAAAAAATAAAAACACCGGGCGTAACAGCCAGGGCAAAATTTGCACTCGCGGTGATCAGTATTGTTTTTTTGGTTATTAGCCTCACTTTTAACTTCTGTAACTTTACAGATAGTCTATTTGCATTATAAACTAATAATAAACAAAATGTCAGAACTATATATTGTGATTTATTTTTCAATTCACAATTTACTACTTTATCGCTTCTGAGAGCTCTTAAGCCACCACCTAGCCTTCTGACAATATTTTTTCTATGTTTATCCACTTAAAATCTATAAGTGTACCAGTTTTCACGACTATATTCGATTATTTTTTTATTGACAAAACTTTACGCGTTTAACCGCCCGCTCACGCTCTCCGCCTCTGCAGCGACTTCTGACTGATGGGCTCTGGCTTTGTCAATGTGATAACAAACTTTTAACAAAAAATCATGACTATAGTCGATCAGTGCAGTCCACATGTAGCTAGCTCTCCGTCTATTAGTGGATAATGAATATGACGGAGGATTACTGTCACATGTTGAAAAGATAATGTCAGATAAGAGATAAAAAGATAAAGAGAGATCCACTTTCTTTGGGAGAAAAATAGCGTTGATTAAAAAAACTCAACTATCTTAATCGCATAGCTTCCTGGTTCATGAAACTATCTTTTAAATTAACTGAGTAGACATTTTCTCCAAAATGGTGGGTGTTGACTGACTGACTTCAGATTCGAGTTCAGTTCCGAAATTATGGAGGTAGGGTTATGAAATCCAGTAAATGGATAAGGAGAAGGACAGTCCTTATTCATATTCACAAATAACCCATTTTTTTGAGGATTTGGGGGTCATTTTCTCGCAAATAGTTAGTAGGTGCTAGCACCAAACAGACCAATATTATTGTTCCATGTACTACATCCTCTGTACTCTCAGATATGGCATGTGTAATGACACTTGCAATTATTATGTCTGTGTAATTATCATTATTTCTAATTTTAGATTAGCGGCGAGTGTACAACAATAATCGTAGCACATAGGCTGTCAACGATTAGAAACGCAAACGTGATAGTTGTTGTTTCGGAGGGCCGTGTTGTTGAAAAGGGCTCACATGCTGAATTAATGGCAGCTCAAGGAGTTTACTATAACCTGGTATCCTCCCAAGGCATCACCGAAACATCCGATCTTAAAGGTATAAAATAATGGTGATTTTTTCAATGCGTATTGTTTAACAAATGTGTTATTTAGGAGATAAAACACTGAAGAGTAGCTTAAGTTTTTCTAATAAATCTTTCAACGATCCGGGAAAAGAAGAAGAAGGTCAAGAAGAAATAGTGGTAAGTAATATAATTTTGTTTAGTATTGTATCAACGAATGTGAGACTTAATGTAAAAGAAGAATTCACATAATATACTATATTCCTTATCTTCTGTGATTTCTTATCTAGAAAATAATGGTAAAAACCAAAGCTTTAGGAAATTGTAGATAAGCTAATAGAATATTGTATAAATGTCCCTGTGCTTAATAAATCTTTCTAAAGAAACTCATATTCTCGTAAAATTTTGGCTGGAAATCCTACCGTACCCTCTACTAAACCTTTTCTAGGTAGAAGTGTTTAAGAATTAATTTAATTTCAGAAAATTTTCACTGCATTTCAGTTTAATTAATTTTATTTAAGTGTTGACAATTATTATCTGTACGAATTGTATTATATTTACAATAACAAACTAACAATTTGGCGTAAATTTTATTATACATGTTTTTGACGAATGTTTCAACAAAAATAACTTCTAAAATACGTAATTGCCAATTCTTAATGCATGCATTTTTCAATTCAATCAGATTATACATTTCAAACTACACATTTTCTATGACTATGCTTTTTTACAGGAAGAAAGCAAAGAAAATAAAGGTTCTCTTCTAAAGGTTATGAAAATGAATAGTCCTGAATGGTTTCCTATCGTAATAGGCTGTTGTGCATCAATAGTTACTGGGGCCTCTTTACCAATTTACGGTATCGTCTTTGGTGGCATAGTTGGGGTATGTTTTTAAAAGAATTTTTATCTCCATTGTGGTCTTAATTTTAATTTGCATTTTTTCTTCAGAAACATTAGGTTCAAATTCTGAGTTATTTTTGGTGAATATTCAATAGAATACACTAAACAGTCGAGCAAAATGCCATTATAAAATCTAAAACTGCACCATTTATAAAGCAATCTGTCGAATTACACAAACAATCAATTAAAGAAATAAACATCGAATTATCGAAAAATAAAGTACATACACAGTTAATTGATAGAATATTTGTTTAGTCAAGCTAAAGTTGTCATAATGTTCTCATCCACATGTATAAACTCAGACTCATAGTATACTACAACTAATTAATTGAGAAAGCAACTAATTGCACTGAATTTCATATTAAAGGTATAATCTCTAACCACAGCACATTAAAAAGGCATATAATACATTAGAATGCACAAATAAGGAATATTAAATATGAAATGAGAAATACGCATTTTAAGTTTGGTATAGGTACATGTATTTTAAATAAAATAAAACACTTCCCACTAGTACATCAGTGGCGCCTAGTGACATTGTGAATAGGTGAGACCCGTTGCTTTTTTACTAGGTGGGCAGGAAAGAAAAAAAAAGCACCACAGGCAAAAATTTCTAAACTTTCAAGGTCAAACGACTAAATGCATTTGGAAATTTTTAGTTGCATTTACAATATTATAGAAAAACTGATGTTCGCGAGCAGGATTTTCATTCAGATTTTCTAAAAAATAATACGCAACTATTTGGATATTTTTATTAATCCGCTATCAAATAATAAAAAGGAATAAATTTCCACGTCATTTTTTATTATGGAGATCTTCGCCAATAGCTGTACTATAACCGTAAATTAAAAAATTATATTATTAATAATAATACCAGAACTTTAAAAATTGTATTTACAATAAAATTAAGAACCAGAAAAAAAAAACAAAGTGATATATTTACCTAATAATTAACAAAATTGTTCCTACTTGGTTTAATAATATTAAAAAACATGAAAAAAATATAAAAACAAATTTTCATAAGGTAGCCAGCTAACTTATCTATTTACATATAAAACAACGCCGCCAGCTTTTCGTTTGCCTCCACTTAAGGATGGAAACTGATGCATCACTGGTTGCCTAAATTATACCGAAAAATGGTAGAAAACAGACCTTTTTTTATTCCAATATATCTGTTTAAAGCAATGGAAGAAAGTAGTAAAATTTCATATCACATTTGCAAAGTATAAATGAAGACAGTAAAGCAAAAATTAATTGGGATAGGTAAATAATTCGTGAGAAATTAATTTCTTAATATGAAGGTTTTTTGGACTTTTACAAAGAAACGATTATTTCTTCATAGTATTATAGAATTATGCAATTTTTTATATAGTTGTCTTTAAATAAATAAACTGATTAGACTTTATTTCATAGTTTGTTCATCACTTTATTATTTAAAAAGTTATATTGGAATAAAATTATTAAAAAATATTCATTCATGAATAGCATTATCTCCGACTTTTAATTCGCTTGATTTGTAATAGATGTCGCACTAGTAAAAATTTATTTATGAATGGACTCGGGTTATTTTTAACGAACAGCTGTTGTATGTGGTTAATTTGGTATAACCTGATTCTGAATTGGTAGTCATGGTTTCTGTTAATTGATACGTAAATATTTAAAGAATGTCATGATCATTTTAGATATATTTTTGTATAAAAGTATATAAGTAACAGTGCAAGTCCATACTATTATATAATTTTAGAAAATATGAAATATAAACAATTTTTAGTTTATTTAAAACCATAATTTATAATTAATATACCTATATTAGTATCTACGTTTAGTGGATAAGAGGGAAAACATTTTTATTTTCTATTCTACTAGAAAAAGTAATTCGTGACAAAAAATATTTTGCTTTTTAATTGAATATGTTTGTTATGAAAAACTGTAATTTTTATATTTATATATACAGGGTGATCAGAAATTTAACAAAATTAATAACGTTGAAGAATAAACTGCTTTTGTTTTTGATAATTTAAAAAAATTTTAATAAGAAAAGTTGTTCATAATGAAAAGTTATGTTATAATTACGATTTGTGAATAAAGCGGCTTACTTTGGTATAAACAGAAATGGAAAACATTATATTTTTAATAATTATTATTGAGTAATTCTTGATAAAAAAATTCACATATTAATATAAATAGAATTTTAATTGTGAATATGCATAATAATGAGAAAATATAAAAAATATGTACGATATACTTATTTTGTCCAAAAAATGTGTAAAGAATTATGTACAAAAGGACGATTTGAGACTAATTTTTTTTATGAGAAATAGGTATTCAGTTCACTTCACTTGAAAAAATAGTTGTAGGTACTTTAATACCTCTAATATAAACAGAAATTCTGTGGAACAGTGTAGTTTAATAAATATGTAAATAAACGAAAGTAATAAAGAAATAAATAGAATAGGTACAGTAGAACAGGAAGAAATTTAAAAAATCATAAAATAAAATTATTTCTTTTTATTAATTTGAGCTTCTATAATATATTCTGGATCCATACATCTTTTTCCCTGTGGAATATTTTTTTATACTTATTATTTCTGTAGTATACAATTTTTATAAAATTGTTCCAAATTTGTTGCCATTGATTTTTTCCACAATTCTTCATCTTTCTTAAATTGTTCTATATAGAAAGGGTTGTTTTCATCACTATAGGTATATTACGAAATAACATATAGACTTCTTCCGGTTATATTTAACTGTCTCTGTATCTGAAAGTAAGAAAAGAATTTTACCAGATAATATTTGTTATAAACATAGATAATTATACATTTTTACCTATTATGCTTTTGATTTACCATAATGATATATCTAGTCATATATAGGGTACCACAATAGTACGATAAAGTTTAGTATAACTGCCTGTAGTAGTGATACAAAAAAAGTTATTTGCTCGGATTCACATTTTATTATTATTTCCATTATTCATTATTTTCAGACCGAATTAAACGATCAGAAAATCTTGTTTTTGGCCTGAAGATTTTGCCCTATACAACTATAACTGAAAATAATTATAAACTTTGTCACACTATTGGAACAGCCTGTATGTGCATTGCAACGACAATATGCCATATTTATATTACGGCTAAGTAAGCGGAAAGTCCATTGTCGCATATGTAATTTTTATTTTCAAATAATCAAATACAATATCTACATATTTATTTTAATACCTATTATTTACTTGAATTTAGTACTAAGTACAGCTATGCCTAGCAAATTGTAATACTTACTCAGTTAATGTTTTTTCTTCATATAAAAAATAGTAAACTCCACAAATAAAATATTTCGCAGCCACAACGCAACAATAAAAGATAACAGCTCAAAGATCCATACAGGAAATAATTACATTCGCTCCTACTCTGGTCCGAATCCATATAAGTAATAAAATGTAGAAAATAATATAAAATAAAACTTTTAGTTGACTGCAAATATTATAAATTTGTACAACCACTTGCCATCCTCCTTTTTTGTAAATATGTACATAATAATATGTAGAAGATAGAAAATAGAAATATTTTCAGAACAAAAAACCGGCGGCCTCAAATTGGAGTCTTTATTATTTTATTACCCTTCTCTTTTCATATGCAATTATGAGATAGCAAGAGAGTGGGATGGACGTATAGGCCGGACAACTCATTATCGTGCACGTGTGCGTGCACCTGGCATTTTCTCGTTTTTTTAGGTGGGTTTTGCCGGAATTTGAATGAATGAAATTATCGTAGTATTTTTACTATAAACGTATTTCCTGTAGCGACATCTATATGAATATTGTAGTGCTTTGTTAGATGAAACGGGACCTCAATTTCCGTTCTTAACAAAATATTTTAAAAACATAGTGAATGTTTTTATAAAACAGGTTCATTCGTCCGTCTTTTAAATTTGCAAATTTACATATGTATTCAAGTTGTTTAAGTGCTCTTGTGTCATCGTATTTCTAAATATTAATGCGCTTAAGACACAAAAAGTTTCTTTCTACTGAGACACTTGTTGCAGGAATTGTTAAACTGGGCAAAACAATTTGTATTTTTCCGAAAATACCATTTTAAATCCCTTGTGTAATATTTCTATCGTTTTTTGAACTTTTAAATTATGAAATCGATCGTCTCTGTACAAAATATTAAGTTCGTTTTTCAACCTATCTATTTCTAAAATGTTTGGATACATTTGTAATAAACATTCAAACGATTTTTCGGGAAATTTGTTTGCATATTCGGGAAATTTTGAGGAATCTTTTAAAGCAAAAAAATTTAAATCATGTCAATTCCCAAAACAAGTAGGTACTTAATTAAAGGGAAATATATTTCGAAAATATTTCTAATTTGTCGCAACATTTGCCGCGTTTACTTGGTAGACTAGTAATATTTTTTGCATAAATAAAAATATTTTTAAATTTTTCTTCATTTCTTAATTCAGAAATTCTTTGACTAGTAATTTTTATTGATCTAGGGCAGACGTCATTCCGTCTTGAAAAAGATGTTTCAAGAGTTAAAACAATATTGTGAGATAGATTCATTATTTGCTACCTATGCAGGTATTTGATAATATAATAAGTATCTATTAAATTATGTTAAATTTAGTTCTATTTTGTTTTGTTGTAAGAAAGTTGTTTTTTATTTCCTTGAAATTAATCTATCTTGTACTTATCCTTATAGACTTTGTACTATTCCTTACAGTGACATCAGACACTACCGGCGTATTATGCGACGCGTCGATGCGTGCATTAACCGCGGACTGAAACTTAAAAAGCCGTTTTAAGCGAGCCTCAGTTCCCCCGTAAATAACGTAATTTTAACCGCCTCGCATGGAGGGGGAACTGTAGTATATTGTAGACAAGTGTGACGGGCCTACAAGCAAATAAATTCTGGCTTCACTGTGGTGGGTACTAGTGGGGAGTACAGTAACAGTATCCGATCCTATATTCAATACCTATTCAAACAATTACTTTATACTGTTATTTAGATTTTTGATAGATGTAATAGGTAATTGAAAAACTGTTTATTTAGGTTAACCGTAGAATAGTAGGTATTATAATATTCAGTGTGAGAGCCAAATTTTACTGTGAGGCTCACCCTCAGTTGCGTCATACCACGAGCCGCCACTGTAGTACATTCATCAGACTTATTTGTCGCAAACCGCAACGCTCATCTTGAAAATCGCGTGAACCGTGAACATTGAGTTTATAATCTAGATGTGAATACTGAGATACAGATAATATTGCAGAGAGAGGAGTCCAAAAACGGTTTTTATGAAGATATAACAAAATTGATTTGATGTATTGTTTATGAAAATGTTTATTTTTTCTATTTCTCTTCCTATTTTACATAAAAAGTTAACCGGCCACACTGCGTAGTTGATCTCCCGTTCAGAACAAACAAATTACGTTACGCGTAAATACCACAGTAATTGTTTCAAATTTGACATTTTTAATACCTCTTTTTAATTAAACTGTACTGTTGTTTAAAATATATGTACACATTTAATATTAAGTTGTACATATATCTCTATAAATAAATCCAAGCTTTGTCACTCATATATTTTTCGCATTTACAGGTCCTTGCTCAACAAGACGACGAACGGGTTCGAGCTGAAAGTAATGCGTATTGTCTCTATTTCTTATTGTTGGGAGTTGTTACAGGTTTGGCAATGTTTTTCCAGGTAACAATTGATCGAAAACCGTATTCGAATATCACTTAAAGTGTATATGTTTCTTTTTCTAGATGTTTTCGTTTTGCGTTGCTGGCGAGAAGTTGACGTTGAGAATGAGGAAGAAAGCATTCGAATCTATGCTTCGCCAAGAGATGGGCTGGTATGACAGGAAAGAGAATGGGGTTGGCGCCTTATGCGCTCAACTTGCTGGAGATGCTTCAAGCGTACAGGGGGTAAGAGTACAATTCACGTAACATTCCACTACTAGAGACACCAGATCGATTTTGCATCGAGGCTCTCGGTATGTGCGCTTTTCTGGATCCTTAATTAAGAAATTTAAATTGATGTTAGGGTAGGTTTCTCTGTATGTAAACCGTAAAAGTTTTTACATGTTTTTAAAGGGTAGACATTGCCATTCATAGGACCACAAAAAAATGAGTGGATGGTTCCTTGAACCAGACCAAGTGGATCATATGTTTTTTGGGCCACTGAAACCGAATCCGAAACCTTTTTTGCCCCGTTGTGTGAGCGTTTTCTTCTAACCTCAAAAAACAGCTTGAAATTATGAAACCCAACAATATCAAACCTTAAACCATACAGGGATGGCCAGAAGAACGGAATAAAATTAATATCTTTTGAATGAGTTAATTTTTTTTTAAAACGCCGAAACACGTTAACTGATTTTGATTTTTTCCCATCTTTCGGTTATATAATAACTAATTTTTCTTCAACTCCCTAACCCCCAGCTACCCCTGTTTTTTTTCAAATGGAAACATAAGGCATGAGGGGGCTCGTTGAAAAGCTTTTATAGAAAACCGAATCCAGTACCTATCGCTGCTAACGCAAAAAAGATATATTTTTTATATTGCGTTTTTTTGGCACCTCTTACTTGCCAGGCTTTCTGGTTAATTTATCGCTTTAGTTGTAAATTGGAGTTCGAAACGTTACTATTGTGTCAAAATCAATTTATTTACTGAATTGCAATGGTATTGTCGGAAAGGCAACCCATCGAAATCTTGATATTGCTTGGATGTGGAGACAAAATAAGAAGTCAGGCTGAAGTGCGCGATTTATTTAATGCGAAATATCCCGAAAACCAAATCTCGCAAGGGACAGTTAGTAAAATATTTCACAAATTTGAGGAACACGGTACAGTACAGACTTTGCCCAAAACTGGACGGGCACGTGCTTTGAATGAAGAAAAGAAATTAGACATTGCATTAGAACTTGTTGAAAATCCTCATACTTCAACTGTTTCATTGGCCCGCAATCACGATGCTTCTCGAACTGCAATTCGAATGTTTCTGAAACAAGAGAAATACCACCCCTATAAGGTATGTCTTATCCAAGAGCTTTTGGATGACGATTATGATAGGAGATTACAATTTTGTGATGAAATGATAAGCGGTGTTACGACAATAATGGTTTTCAACGAGACGTACTTTTTTCGGATGAAGCTACGTTTTATTTAAGTGAAGTGGTTAATAGGCACAACTATCGTTTTTGGTCCCAGGAAAATCTACACTGGACATGCGATTCACACACGCAGCATCCACAAAAAGTTAATGTTTGGGCAGGTATCATCAACAACAGAATCTTGGGCCCATTCTTTTTTGAAGAAAATCTTACTGCCGCACGCTACCTGGATTTCCTAACATTTGACCTGATACCTGCTCTAGCTGTGATTTTCCCTCATGAAATTGATCCAGATATACCGAATGAAAGAATTTGGTTCCAACAAGATGGCGCTCCCCCACATTTTGGTATTGATGTTCGAAGATACTTAGATGAAATGTTTCCAAATCGCTGGATTGGTAGACGGGGTACAGTTGAATGGCCGCCAAGATCCCCCGACTTAACACCCCTGGATTATTTTCTTTGGGGATATTTGAAAGAAAGAGTCTACCAGGACAGACCGGATAATATTGAGAATTTAAAGAACAAGATTAGGGCGGAGATGCATAATTTACCAGCTGAAGTCATTCAGAATGCTGTGGACAGCTTTTACTATCGTCTTGGAGAATGCCAAATAGTGAATGGAGGACATTTTCAGCATTTGCGACATTGAGTTTATTTTTGTAAATTATCTAGTTGTTTCAATTTCTAAATGAAAAAAAACTTGCTATTGAAAAAATAAAACTTGTTTATTTGGTATGGCTGGATTCGGTTTTCTAAAAGCTTTTCAACGAGCCCCCTCATGCTTTATGTTTCCATTTGAAAAAAAGTAGAGGTAGCTGGGGGTTAGGGTGTTGAAGAAAAATTAATTATTATATAACCGAAAGATGGGAAAAAATCAAAATCAGATAACGTGTTTCGGCGTTTTAAAAAAATTAACTCATTCAAAAGATATGAATTTTATTCCGTACTTTTGGCCATCCCTGTATAACCCTATACTTTCATAACTCAATAACCTTGAGATCGATAACCTATAACTGTAAAACCTATAACCTGAAAATCTATAACCTCAAAACTCATAAATCTCAAATCCCAATGAACTGCAAAAACAAAATGAGCAAAAAAAACTTACATGCAAAACTAAAACCTCAATATCGGAGAGTTTTAACTCCATAATTCTACACCTCCATCACGTCATAATCCATAAACTCCATAACCTTGAAGTGTAACATAAGAAAATTGCATGTCACAATAGAACTCCGAATCATGTACAATTTAATATCATAACTCCACATCCCCATAACTCCGTACAACCTGATACTTGAAAACTCCATAATCCCAAAAGTCCATAATCCTATACCCCAAAACTTTACAATCCTATAACCCAGAAATTTCATAACCTTATAGCTCCATAACCGTGCCGGATAGCGGAACAACTCCGTTGCCCACCGTCATCGTCACCGCGTGGAGGTGCTCTGGATGCCGACACGCGGAAAAACTGTCACTCAAAACTCAAGTCTTAGGTGCAAGTACATTTACTATTGTATTTTTGGGTTGTAGCGTCATGAGGTTATAGGGTTACAAGTTTAAAAGTGATGGAGAGATGTGATGTCGTGAAGTTTTCACTGTACACCTCAAAGTATTTTTTTTGTCGTATTTAAGAGTTGTAGGGTTACGGGGTTTTGGGTTATACGGTTAAGAGGTTTTGGGTGACTGGGGTTATAGGCTGTTGAGGTTATAGGGTTGTGGGAGTTCAGAGTTATGGGGTTCATGGGGTTTATGGGGTTTATGGTTATGAAGTGATGGATGTATAGAATTATAAAATTAAAACTCTCCGATATTGAGGTTTCAGTTTTTTGTTTTTTTTTTTGCTCATTTTGTGTTTGCAGCTTATAAGGATTTGAGATTTATAAGTTTTGAGGTTATAGATTTTCAGGTTATAGGTTTTAGAGTTATAGGTTATAGATCTCAAGGTTATTGAGTTATGAAAGTATAGGGTTATATGGTTTAAGGGTTGGTATTGTTGGGTTTCATAGTTTCAAGCTGTTTTTTGAGGTTAGAAAAAAACACTGACGTGATGGGATAGAACAGGTTTCGGATTCGATTTCAGCGACCCAAAAAACATGGTCTTCAAGGAACCTTCCACTCATTTTTTTTTGCGATCCTGTGTTATGTAAACGGATATCGGGCAGATGTCCTCCGTCACTCATTTAGAATACTCGATTTCTTTTAAAAAAATTCTACATGCGCTTTTGTGTACTTGCGGCTGAATTTCGTTGATAACTCTCCGAATTTATTAACCCATTCAAAATAGCTCAATAAATAGGGATAAGCTAACAATAATTCGCATAAAGCTAAAAATTGGTACGATTGTTAGGAACACCATTATAAATGTGAAAGTCCACATCGATCCCACATCTGCAAAAAAATGTATTAAAGGTCAAAGTTCGCAAATATTGTTTTTTGCATTTTTCAGCCAAACGGTAAGATTTACCATAAAAATAGATCATGCAATTATCTATAAAAATTGTTCTCACACTTTCTTTCCTAAGAATCACCATTTCTGAGATATAGCGATATAAATAGTTGAAAAAGTCGTGTTTCATAATATGCACATGTTTCCACGCCACCTGTAAGGTGGCGCGTTTTCTTTGAACGTGGTTTCTCCGGTAGTTCTATTCCCCAATCTATTGTGGTCTTGTTTAATTAAATAATATTTTATTAAATAAAAAATGGTACTATTGGAAATGATGAAAGCGGTGTGAGTTATGAGTAATTGGGGAAAACTATTCATCTGATTAATAATTATCTAATGGAACTTCAAGTGTAATGTCTTCTCTTATTCTTCGTCTCTTCCTTTTTTCTTCTTTTTCTTCTTCTTCCTGCTGGGTACAACTAAATTGTTATAACAGTGATGCATCAAATGTCTCCTCGCTGAGATCGTAAGAATCCTCTTCTGATGGAGCTTCAACATTGGAGCACGACTGGTCTTGACAGCTGGTACATGCTAATGAACAAAACGAACCAACTTTTTTGCAGCCGCACTTAGCACTACACCCCTTTTTGCAATAGCAAGAAATTGTATTGAGGGGTTTTTCGAGTGCAGGTGGAAGTAAAGTCTGGATTGGTTCCAATATATTGTCAATTAATTTCCAATCCCAGTCTTCTGGGTCCAGTTGATTACCAAGCCACACTTGAACCTGAATTATCAAAAGTAAATATTAATACCCGAAATAGACGTTGATGAGCAGAAGCAAAGGTTGGGGGAAGACAAGCTAATTGCACTCGTTTATTGTTAGGAGTACTTTTTACAAAAGATAAGTATCGAAACTTATCTAAGCAGGTAATTTTTTTTTGGAGCTCCATATACAGAAAGAAGGAAGCGAATTTCGTTGGTGATTACAGGTTGTGGACTACAGTTACTCTCAATTTAAAAACTGTTGTTTTACCCCTCCTGAAAATTGCTGATGTCTTATCGCAGCCAGTTATTGAGGGTGTAAAAATAGTACGTGACTTTGACATTTTGAAGAAGCAGATAAACTTTGGATGAATATATTTCCGATCGCTGTTGAGCCTTCCGAGGTATTAAATAATAGATAATTTTTTCAGTTGAGTTTCAGCAGTAAGTAATACCAATAAATCAACCAACAACAATAGTTGCATTTGTTGAGTTGAATTGTTCTATTGCTGTTTCAATTATCAGGACATCGGCGTTATTATCAGCTTGTAAGGCAGGTGGCACCATCCTGCTAGAACCACATGTCATCCAAATCCATGCCATTGAAACGAGACCACAAAAATTCAAGTATCTTGGGATGTGAGGTTACAGGTTATGGTATTGCAAGGTTGAGAAACTAAGGGGTTATGGTGCAATAAAATAGGGAATTCGCATGTTTTTCCAATAGCTGATTACCCAAGTCAGTTTGAATTTTCGAAAAACTCTTTCTAAAGGAGTATCTTGGTGTTATAGGCTATTGATTATATCCGAAAAAACAGGGTTAAAAGGAACTATGACGTTCAAGCAGTTTTATTGCATGAATAGTTCAAAGGGTCATTTTAGATGAAAAATTGCAAAAAAGGAAGGATTCGTTCAATAATTTTCATCACATGCAAATTTCGTAATCGGACCACCGCCATTTTGTAGCTATTTTTATTACGAACAAAATCATGCCCTTAGAATTTTTTCGTACAAAGTCATCCCGCTGAGTTATTTAAAGAAAACTACTAAAAAAATGTTTTTCACGATTAAATTGTTAATAACTTTTTTCCCTGATAAAATAGTTTGTCAGCAAATTAGCCTGTTATTCATTATTTAAAGTATTCCTGTGTAGTTATTTCCGAGTTATCAAAGAAATGTCACCAACAGTAACTTTTCGGGCTCTGACGACTGGACTATTACTATTTTAAATGGTTCTAACTGTTTATTAGATGTAGCTGACGTAATTCAGTGCTAGTTAGGATGTAGAATAGTTGTTTCCCGCAATATCAACAGTTAAGAATCTTAGGTTAGAATCTTTGTATACCTAGATCCTCACTTCATTTGATAGAAAATTTTAGAATTTATTTAAATCAACCTTATACGTTTAAATTAATTGATTTTAATATATAAATTTTAAATTTAAATCAATATCTTTGTTTTCAGGCCGCAGGGGTACAGATTGGTTCTTGCCTAAACTTTATATCAACATTTATTTTAACATGCACATTTTCGTTGATCTACGAATGGAAGCTCTCACTTATATTGTTATCATTTTCCCCGCTTATACTATTTTCCATTTATTTCGAACAAAAAGCTTTACAAAACGATGCCAAGAAAAGTCAAAAGATCCTAGATAAATCCGCTAAGGTAGGTTAAATTTAAAACTGCATTCCACTAAAGCGGTAGGCAACTGGCAATCAGCAACATGCGACATCGCTTTCATCGAAATATTGTGAGATCGATAGAGATCTTGAAACATCGATTGCCAAATCGCTTGACAGTCGAAGTTTTATTGTTGCAGTTTTATTAAAAACGGAAGAAAAAATGTATCTTCGTATAAATGGTAGAAACCTATGACTATAGTAGACTATGACAAAATATGTACAGGGATATATTTTGGAAAGTTAGTTTTTCTTAAAATCAACTGACAATAATTCAATTCTGAAGACAGTGGTATATTTCGGAGGTTGTCACTCAAATGTAGGATAAATTATAAATTTTTCAGAAGCTGCTGTCAAGAACTAGTAGTGATTAAATATTTTTTTAAACTTTAAACGGTTTTATTTGCAAAAAAAAACTATCAAAATCATTGCACTGAATATCTAAATAAACGAAGTGATACTTTAATAAAATTACCCACCATTTTAAATTCATAGGTCATTATTTCTCATAACAAACTATTTTAACAAAGAAGAAAAGTTTAATGAGAACGAAAAATTTAAAGTTATCCCATTATTTTACAGGAATAATAATTTTACGGCATTGAGCGACGCTTTAGAGAAACAAAATCTCTTGGAAGATAGAAACGAAGAATTATTCCAAATGAAGAATTAGAATTAACTATATTACTATATTTTCAAGATAAGCAAATATTCATTCGAGGTTTACCATGGTAAATTCAAATATTAAATTATTGAAGAAAGGCCACAAGAGTCCACAGTAAATGCTTCAAGATAGTTAGAAATAATCCAAAGTAAAATTATTACAACGTTACATAAATATAATTCCCGCCTCTATAAAACTATGCCGGTCCAAAATCTCACACAAAATCAAAAAATTCAGCGATTAGAGTACTGCAGAGAAAAACTATTTTGAAAAGATTGACTGATGAGGCGACTTTTACAACAACTGGCATTTATAACAGAAAAAATACTCATACCTACCTGGGCAAATGAAAATCCTCACTGTAATAGGGAAATTAATGTTTGGTGCGGTATATTGAGAAATAAAATCATTGGCCCACTATTTTATGAAGGTGCTTTGACTGGGGAAATATACCTGCATTTTCTTGAAAATCAAATAGAAAACAAATTGAAAGACCTGCCGCTGATCGACTCCACCAATTTAATTTGGTACCAAGATGCCTCCGCATAGAACCAGAGCAGTACGAAATTATTTAAATAATAGGTTTGATTTGTGGATTGATAATAGAGGAAATATTCTATGGCCTTCAAATAGCCCAGACTTTACATCCTTGGGCAGTTTTCTGTGGGGTTACTTAAAAAACGGGGTTTATAAGGAAACTAGTGTAAACTTAGATGAACTAAGACATAAAGTTGTTCAATGTATACAAAATTTAAGTGAATTTAATTCCTATTTCATATTAAATGCAGTTCTGAAAATTAATGAGGATTATACGAAATGCATCAATAATAATGGCGGTCAGATTGAGCATCTGCGACCATTTGTGTTTTAGTTGGTTTTTATTAATTAGCTATTAAAATTATGTTAAAGACTTAAAGTTAAGAATGATTTTTATAATTATCATAAAATAAACGGATAACTTCAAATTTTTCGTTCTCACTAAACATTATTTCTTTGTTAAAATAGTTTGTTATAGGAAATAAATTAATGATAATAAATAAAGTTCTGTCAAAGTCACTTGTTTGTTCCGCGTGCCTCGTCCATAGCCACTGCGATCCGTCAGACATAAATTTTCCTCCTGTTTTTTCAAAAATAGTTTTAAACTGAAATATGTCTAAAAGTCCTGAATCAAACAGTAACATATTATATATTTCTGAAAAGAGAAAAATTTAACGAAGCTAAGTATGCACTAATATATAGGGTGTTCCGATGGAAAAATTTTTTCTTTAATTTAGTGATTTCCATTATTCAATTGTGTTTTCTAATACTGTATTATAAAAATTCATAAAAAAGCTGAAACTTTTGTATTAAAAACTGTTTTGTAATTTCAATAATAAACTCACAATAAGTTGTCAGATTATAGTGACTAACCCTGTACATCAGGGGTCGGCAAGTAATTTTAGGTGGGGTCCGGATACTTTTAAAAATTTTTAACGAGGTCCAGAAAAAAAATTCATATTTCTTACAAATTTTCATTTGAACTCAAATTTAATCTATTTTCTAACCATTAAGAACTCAAAACACTCACACAATTGTAAAATACTAGAAAAAATGATAAGGTTGGCACTTAAACGTAAAAAAACATTTTTTAAATAATTTATTTGAGTAATTTATACTTTCAAAAAATTTTTGGCGGTCCAGTATTTTACCTTCCGCGGTCCGGACCTGGACCGCGGTCCGCCAGTTGCCGACCATTGCTGTACATGTTGATTTCTTGGGGCTTCACAAGCACTGAACTACGAGTCTTGGTCACTTTAAATTTACTGTAAACATCTCAAGCTGTGGATTTTGTATTTGGTTTATAAATTAGCAGGGTGTTTCTGAAATAAGTGCATTTCTTCAAAGGATTGATAAAGGACGTAAAAATAATTTTAATTAAGCAACCTATGGTCTAAAATGACAAGAATGCCAGAAAATTAATCAAGATTTTACGTAATACTTAGGCCGACTCTGCAACGTCCACCCACTTAGTCAACTGATTAACTGTTTACAATGTAGTAACCACAAACTAAATTATGCCTACTATACCAAGGTTTTCGATAAGCTTAATCTGAATTCAACTTCAGAATTCTCCCATCACATCAGGTTTTAGAGACATCCTAACCCAAATGTGCGAAAACATGGTTTTTAAATAATGAGGGTAATTTTTCTTGACGAAACTCAACTGAAAGTACTTTTCTTCAAAATCCGATTTGAATCGTATTCCGAGAAATCGTTTATTATAATTTAATATTTTGGCATTTTAGTCGACATTCGGAAAATGAATAGTATCAGCTGAAGACTCAATAAATGAGAAGAACCAAATGGCAGGTTTTTGAAATTTTGAAGAATTTTTTTCGTTTTTAAATTCCATTTTCTTAATTCATTCGCCATATTGGATCCGCCATTTTGAATTTCGTAATTCTGACTTCAGATTCGTAACCAGCGACTGCGAAAATCAGAAGATTCAATTGGAAATTTAGGTGTTTGTAATTTGATACTTCTCTCTTTTTACGCTGAACTAATCAATTTGTACACTGAAAGAAATGTGCTTTATTCTTTATTAGAATTCTATATGCCATTATAAGACCATTGTATACTATATGTGACAGTTAAACAGGTGAATATTGAATATAAAACGCGTACTGCTAGCACAGTTGTATAGTGACTATAATCCTTATTCTTTATTAAATTATTGTATAACTAGTATATATAGAACGTTTTTTATACTCTTTACGAAATAATAGCAATAACTGTTATTAAAGTGTTCCATATCGTTATTAGAACACCTAGTACTGGTTATAAGTTTTATAATAATAAATGTATTAAACTGTTGTATACTCATTATGAGTTAAAAATATATGACATTAAGTTTTCAGAAATTTTATTAGATAACTGTAATTAAGGTTCTAATGTAATCATAAAACATACATTTAAGTATTAAAAATTATGACAAATCGCTCCCAAAACTGTCCAGTTTATTTTCTTAGTAACGGTGCACTCGTATTTTCTTGTATTACATGAGAATTTGCACTATAACTCTTCCACCTTAAGAATGAAGCATCCCCTGAAAGGTTGAGCTTCTTTCCATCTAATTCTATTTCCTCTGGTTGATTGAGTTTATACCCATGCTCTTCTTTGTCACCGTTAACCTTCTGTTCCTCCATCTTATGTAAAACATAACATCAGCGGTTTCTAATAGGGCATACAAAACAATATTTTTTAAGATTTAGACAAGATTTACATTTAAGAAAACAAAACAACTATAAGCCATAAAACAGTTAGATGCTTACATAATTATCCATTTCACACAACGCCATATGATCATATATCCCACAACACATGTGCTTATACTGACTATTTTCATCAAACTAGACGTGTAATAGTCGTAAGTCGATGCACAGCGGACTGTCGGAAATTTTACGATCACAACCGATTATGCACCGAGAGGTGACGATCACTTAACCATTATAAGACGCGTTTTACACGTTAAAAACGGAAACATATTCAGTATAAGAACGAATAATTCTGTTAATACAATTGTTATATACAAATTCGGATACTGGTCTTTATACAACAAATCTTCCCTACTATATAATTGGAACATAAAGTCTATAACACATAATATTGTATGTGTAATTCATTATAACCTTTATTTCATAGATGCATAAGGCGTATTAAACACATTCCAGTTAAACTCATTGAATAATGAGTATGGAGATGATTGCTTTTTTTAATAAAAGTTGTATAGTTGTTATAAAAGTTTTAATATGCGCTATACACATTATTCTAGATAAACAGTTTAATAAGCCCATTTATTTCAGTGTACAAACCTATATCGCAGAGATACTCGAAAGAATTAAAATCGATATTAAGGAACAAGAGTTGTACTTTCATACCAAGTTTTGAGGTTACATTCTTCACATCATAAGCTTCGGATAAGTATAAACCAGTATTTAGTTTAAAATTTTGCCAATCTATGTTATTTTTATTGCTGATACCTAGTTGCTTATCGCTTTGGTATCATATCGAATACTATAGCACACTTGTTTCCAGTTGCTAGTTGTCTATTGCGTTGGTGTGCATAGTAGGCTATTGACTATGTAAAAAAAAGAGGGTACAAAGGAACTACAATGTAACAGAAATTTTAGTGTTTGATATGTTCAATTGATTCTAAAAAATGATAAAACCGCGGAGTGCTACCTTTTAAAGGGGTGCGATTTTGAGAACGAAGTAAAAAGGTGGTATTTTCAGTTTTTTGAATTTTACTCGAAAACTATACCTACATTTTTTCACTATAGTTGTCAACAGAAAAGTTGTAGCAAACTGAATTTCCAATCGAAATGAGACCTATTGAAGTCGAAAAATTATTTTTAACAAAAATATGCCCAGAAAACGAGTAAAAAAAACGAAAAAATGCGGTTTTTTTTTGGTTTTTGGCCCACAACCTTTTTCTGAGAGGAGTTAGGTATAGGCATTGCTTCACAGAAAAAAAAATTAATGTTTTTTCCTTTAAAATAAGCCTTTATAGAAGTACCTACGACTAATAGAAACCGAGATACATTGGATCAAAGTTGGCTACTTTTTGGATTTTTGGCCAATTTTTGCCCTTTTTTGACGATTTTCGTCTTATAACTTTTTCTGAGTTAATTTAGGTATATGTAATGCCATATTCAAATGAAAGCTGGTTTCAAGCCTGGTAGAAGTTTGTACAATTAAAATCAACCGAGATATGTCAATTTAACCAACGATACTTTTTCTCTTTATAAAATTTTTATTACTTTCGGTATTATTTTGTCTAATAAATTTATTTTTGTGAATGTGAAAGTTAAAATAAGTTTCTAGGTGATTGAATATTATTATTTATTTATTTAAACAATAATTAATCATATTTATCTTGTAAAATTTCGAATTCTTTTAATTATTTTTGTACTTTTAATTAAAAAATTACAATTTCAAAAAAAATTTTCAATTTTGTAAATAAGAATTTTTCAAAATTAAAAAATTACCTCGATGTATTTTTATTTGAAAATGCTAGTCTTGAGGGTATCACTGCTGCATCTGAATGCATTGTGACTATAATGTATAGTTAAAAAATTGAAAGCCTAAAAACTTGTCGATATAAATTATTTCAAAAGTATTCAACAAGTGCAAAATTTACCTTATCTCGATTTACTTCAACAACTGATGCTCTCAAACATCATGGGTTCAGAGTATATTTTCAGATGCAACAGTGAGATAGTTGTACTCTAAATCCCCTTGATTGGGGTTGGAAAAATTACATAAATGGGCTAGTTCCCATTTTTAATAATAAATCTCCTGCACCTGAAAATTTACTTGAAAAAATAGTCTGTCAATGTATTAAAGAATGTATGGGAATAAATTGTGAGCCTGATTTTTCTGAAGAGGACATTGATGAAAATGATGACAACGAAATTGATATTAAAATTGAAAATATACTAAATGAAACTGAAAATTTATAAGATATATATGATTAACTGTTGTTTAAATAAATAAATAATAATATCCAATCACCTACAAACTTATTTTAACTTTCACATTCACAAAAATAAATTTATCAGACAAAATAATACCGAAAGTAATAAAAAATTTATAAAAATAAGGAAAAGTATTGTTGGTTAAATTGACATATCTCGGCTGATTTTAATTGTATAAACTTCTACCAAGCACCATTTTAAAGGTCTTGAAACCAGCTTTCATTTGATTATGGCATTACATATACCTAAACTAACTCAGAAAAATGTTAGAAAAACTCAGAAAAGACGAAAATCGTCAAAAAAGGGCAAAAATTGGCCAAAAATCCAAAAAGTAGCCAACATTGATTCAATGTATCTCGGTTTCTATTAGTCGTAGATACTTCTATAAAGTTATTTTAAAGGAAAAAACATTAACTTTTTTTTCTGTGAAGCAATGCCTATACCTAACTCCTCTCAGAAAAAAGTTGTGGGCCAAAAACCAAAAAGAAAAAAAACGCATTTTTCTGTTTTTTTACTCGTTTTTTGAGCATATTTTTGTTAAAAATATTTTTTTAATTCAAAAGGTCTCATTTCGATTGGAAATTCAATTTGCTACAACTTTTCTGTTGACAACTATATAGAAAAAATGCATAGTTTTCGAGTAAAACTCAAAAAACTGAAAATACCACCTTTTTACTTCATTCTCAAAAACGCACCCCTTTAAAAGGTAGCACTCCGCGGTTTTATCATTTTTTAGGGTCAATTGAACATATCAAACAATAAAATTTCTGTTACGTTGTAGTTCCCATCTAAAGTCAATAGCCTATAGTGCCTATGCTTAATTATTTCATGTCTTATTCTGTACAGCATTTGTCTTTATGATGTAAATTAGATTGCAGTGGAGGCTATTGCTAATATTCGTACTGTCGCATCTTTGGGATGTGAGGATGTCTTTCAGAGGCTTTATGTCGATGAGCTCGTTCCTTACCAAAAATCAGGAAAAATTAAGTCACATTTTAGGGGTGTTGTTCTAGGAATGGCAAGAAGTCTTTTATTATTTGCCTATGCCGCTGGGATGGCATATGGTGCACAATTGATAGTTGATGGAGTAGTATATTACGGGACTGTATTTACGTAAGTACAACCAATTTGGTTTCTAAATTTATTTATTCAATAAAAATAAAGATGATAATTATTAGGCTTAGTGCACGTGCAGAGTCTAACAGAGCCGGCTCGGGGGTCGGTGGCCTTCACAGCTGACTAGCGTTTTGAACTGTTCAGTTATTTACGGAACCTTGTAGTAGTTGGTGTCGCGTCGATACCTTTTTTACGTCTGCTGTAAATTGTATTTAAATAACAATTTATAAAATAACCTGTTGCAATCGTCACCTCCAATCCAATAATTGTTATTGAGATCTTATTTGTTTCTACTTATTTGCAATGCATGCTGTTGAAAACTACATTAATATTATCTGTTGAAGGGTATCTGAAGTGGTCATTGTTGGATCCTGGTCCATAGGAAACGCATTGTCGTTTTCTCCAAATTTCCAGAAAGGACTGGTTGCCGCAGGAAGAATATTTGCATTGTTAGAAAGGGTTCCTGCTGTTAGAAATGTTACACATCCCTTGAGAAAGAAATGGGTATAGTATCTACATATTAATACGGAAACTTCCAACGAGACGCGACTTGAAATATTTAACGTTCTGGTGATTTTTATTGCGGGAATAGCGAAATGCTTAAATAACTGTAGGATGCTCTTGCTTTTGCTTTTGTTGTACTAGATTTCTTTATTACTGTTATAAATATAGATAAACTGATTGGAAGTTAGTCTAGCAGTTGGAAAGTGTTTGAACAAGTAAGGAAGCAAACTAAGAAAGAGGAAGAATAGAATATAGAGAATCATCTCAGAACAAGTACTCCAGTCGGGTTAGACAAAAAAGGGCTTAACCGGGAAAAAATTAGGGACCACAATTTTATTGTTCTAACCTTTAGGGGGGTCAATAGTAGTGTAAATTCAGAATCGCGACTGAATTCCACCCCTGCGTCTGCCGCCATCTTGAATTTAAGGAAAAATCGTTTTTGCTCAATATCTCGGCCATTTTCAAGTTTACAACAAAAATGGTAAGGACTTAAGTTGTTGTAAATGCGATTTCCTACAACTTCTTTTATTACAAATTTTATCGTGCGATCAATATTTTTCAAGTTAAGGGGGAAAATAGTGACACAGTATAATTATTGAATCATCTCGTTTGTTATTGACAATACGACATAAATGTACATAAACAAAGTTGGAAAGAATTATAGTTTCTACAATTTTGATCTCTTTGATTTTTTCGCTATTGAAAATGGCCGAGATATTGAGCAAAAACAATTCCTTTGAAACCAACTCCCGCAAGGTCCTACGCTCGCGTCTTCACCACAAGCGTAGGACCTTAAATATTGCTTATAGCGAAAAAATCAAAGTGATCAAAATTGTAGAAAATATAATTCTTTCCAACTTTGTTTATGTACATTAATGTCGTAAAGTCAATAACAAACGAGATAATTCAATAATTATACTTTGTCACTATTTTCCCCCTTAACTTGAAAAATATCGATCGCACGATATGTAATAAAAGAAGTTGTAGGAAATCGCATTTGCAACAAATTAAGTCCTTACCATTTTTGTTGTAAAGTTGAAAATGGCCGAGATTTGAGCAAAAACGATTTTTCCTTAAATTCAAGATGGCGGCTGACGCAGGTGTGGAATTCAGTCGCGATTCTGAATTTACACTACTATTGACCCCCCTAAAAGTTAGAACAATAAAATTGTGGACCCTAATTTTTTCCCGGTTAAATGACAACCCGACTGGGCTAAAGAAACTAGAAGATAAATAGAGAGACAAAAATGAAACAAAAAGAATAGGATCTCATGCAGAGAAATAAAAGAAGTGAAACATAAACAACGAAACAGGAAGAGGAAACAAGATGACAGAGAGAAACAAGAATAGGAAAGAAGAAGGTAAGAAGAATATACCGGTCTGGCTAGGCCATTCTTTCGCATAGACTAAGTAAATTACACGCATCTTCCCTGGAAGGGGTCGGACATGACATGTAATCATCGAAGCTGCGACTCGGACTCTCGTAATTGGTTGGCGGTGGGAGCGCACGTGCCCTGTTGCACTTTTTGTGAACCGACCGAATACCTAAAGCGCTTTGCTGTTTGTTTACTTTTATTTTTATTATTATTCCACTCAAACCTTTGGTAAGAAGTAGACGGAATATTAAGAAAATAAAAATGGTGTACAGTGTCGAACAAGACGAATGTCCTGCACACAACGTAAGGCCAGTTCAAGATTATTTGGAACAAACTTTTCCTGAAAGGCTTATTTCCACAAGAGGTATCATACATTGGTCTCCTCGATCTCCAGATCTGACACCTTGCTACTTCTTTTTATGGGGTCATTTAACGCAACTTCTCTACAAACATCGACACGAAAAAGTCGCAAATTTGAACGAATTACAGCTTAAAATTAGAAATATTTTAGGATCAGTTACTCCTGAAATTTTGTCAAATGTTCGGCAAGAATTTTACGACAGATTAGGGTATTGTGAAGCTCAAGCAGGTGGTTTGTTTGAACACCTTATTAATTAATGATAAGCTTTATTTAATAAGCATTTGAAAACAAATCATTATTTTGCTTAAGAATTACCACTCATTTTATTTTACAATACCGTTTTAGTTTTTACTAAAGATTATAAATAATTTGTAATAAAGTTGGAATCTTATCATTCTTGTAAAAAAATATCGTACAAATAGGGTAATTACTGTACGTATGGCAACACTGCTGTCAATTTCAGGCCATATACTCTTTATGCCATCGCAATAAATCAAAAACGTAATTATTGTCCAGTATTCTATCTTCCCTATGTACGTATCTTAGACTTACGTTGTTCTCAAATTCCTAATGCAAGACAGAGACAATAAATCAATAGTCAAGGAGAGCTTAGAACCGCAGGCTCTACGCACTTCTTATGGCGTTTTTTTATTCCCTTATATCGATGGCATAAAGTTATACAAATGATATGGGGGCGGAGTCCGAAATATTAAGGGAGACTGGTAAAATATTTATATAATTTACTAACTTTGTATCGGAAATAAAAATATGACCAAATACAGGCAATTATTGGAAAGCAACAAAGAGTTCCCGAAGAACAGGAAACAAAATGAACGGATTGAGTAGGGAAAGTTATTGGGTAACAGAAAATGCTTGACGACCGAGAAGACAAAATTTATGACAAAATGGAAAGTTTCTAATTCTTACGCAAAAGTCAGTAAAGACATCATCCACCTTCAAGCTGTCTACATAATGGAACCACTTTTTGGACTTTGTGTAGAAGGCAATATTCTTCAGAACGGTGAGAGACAATTCCTGTGATCAGCAATGCTATCCTTGTTTTGCGTTAAGACCAACAATTTAAGAGCTAAGTGTATCAGCATAAAGTCAGAACAAGAGAATACTATTTAACTAGTGAGGTGAGTAACAACAGTTTTGCGAGCTACATGCCTCATCCAAAATTCAATTACACCCCCCAATATCTAGCAAACAGCTAAAATCATTCGTTAGGAGAATCACCTTTTCTAAAATTGTAAGCTCTGTTTTCAGATTAGAACAAAATGTGTAATTGTTATGAAAAAAAGGTTACTTTATGAAGAAGATTCAATATCTAAAATATCCAGTTTTTACAACAAAAACTCCGTAGTTAGAACAACTCAACTAATTTTGAAGAGTGGTGTCTCGTTGGTTATTTCCGCGCATTAGCATTATTACATATTCCAATATATACAAATACTTTTCTTCGATACCTAATTTTTTAAACAGAAATAAATATATCATTTTTGCAGGACAATGAAAATGTGGAATATTCCCAAGTCTACTTTTCTTACCCTACTAGGCCATCTATATCAGTATTAAATAGTTTAAATTTATCCATTATGAAAGGAACAACTGTGGCTTTAGTGGGCTCGAGTGGCTGTGGAAAATCAACAATTATTCAACTGCTGGAAAGATTTTACGACCCCACATACGGCGAAGTTAGTGTGGATGACGAAGACGTAAAAGTAATGGATCTGAGGATGTTAAGATCTCAGTTAGGAATAGTCTCTCAGGAGCCCAACCTATTTGACAGGACAGTTGCTGAAAACATTGCGTATGGTGCGAATGACAGGAAGGTGGATATGGATGAGATTATAGATGCTGCCAAGTCTGCCAACATTCATAACTTTATAAGTTCTTTACCTATGGTAATAAAATATTTCTTTATTTTTCTCTTAGGCGATATAGCTTGTTTATTACTAGGAAACGAAATAGGAAAACAACGTCATATCACTCTAGAGCGAAATAAGCGGATCTAAATATCACCCGCATTTTGACCCTAGTTTGTACCCTTCTTTCATGCAAGGGTAGAATAGTAAATGTACCTTGTATAAATGAAGCAGACAAATAAGAGTACAAAGTTTATTAACATTAATTTTAAAATCGAAAGTACAATTAATTTGAGAAGGAACCTTTAGCAGTAACACCAAAACTACCTAAATTTTCTTTGCCATCGAATAAATGTTGTTCATTTCAATGTAAAAATATAACTAACTTTTTGTATTTTACAATATTGAATATTTTAACTAGAAATTATTGAACTACGTTCAGATCTAAATAAAAAAGATATTCTTGTTACAAATCAATAAAATCTACCATTAAGCTGTGTACCATTATTAATGACTCACCCTGTACAAAAATGAAAGAAAAACTGTTTTCATTCTCATTTACATTTATTTATTAAATTTAAAATAAATATAAAATCAGATGTCTAAGTAAAAAATAAAACGATATATGTGCCACGGGAGATACTAGGATACTACTACCTGTCGCCATTGGACATAATAATCATCTCTGTATCTCCCTTGGTACATAAATAAGTATTTATCCTCGATCGACATTAAAGGCGTAGTTTTAGTGACAGCGATGGTCTTTAATGAAAGTAATTTCATTTAATGTAAACATTTATAGTTAAATTAGAATAGCCTATAAGGGATATCCCTCGTCCTATTTGTTTTTAAACATTTACTTCGTCCATGTAGGGTCTGTTCACTAGTAAATGGTTCATGAACTACTGAATCCTCCAAAGGCCACAGAAAATTTTTAAAGTTAACACTTTTTTTATTTTTAAACAATTTTAAACAAAATGCAATCTAATTGTTTAAAAATAAAAAAAATTGTTAACTTCAAAAATTTACTGTGGCTGTCCTAATCAACCGATTTCAATTTTTCAAAAACCATTTGAAAGGTTGAGCGGTCTTTTCTATGTGAAAAAATTTATCTATATGCTTTATTTGAGGCTGTCGGGCATTTTTCAATTTTTTTTAAAAAAAATTAATTTGCGAAAACTATCGAACCGATTTTAATGAAATTTGGTGTGTTGTTTTATTATACTCTAAAGTTTTTTTACCAAAATTAGAATCCTTCGAAGCAATTAAAGTATTTTTATAAAATTATCCAAAAAACTTTTGCAACATCGGTAATAAATTTAAACATTTTTAACTTACAGTATATTGTGCAAAATTCAATTCTAAAACTTTTTCCTCTTCAATATTCTTCCAAAATGCATAGTACATAATAAATTACATTCTATGTGCTTTTTTTAATATTTATTAATCCTTTGAGACATAAAAATGTATAGGACATGTCAATGTACATACAGAGACAAACACAAGACTAGTATTTATACATATATCTCTATTTACTGATTCAATAATTTCTGGCGGAGATAATCTGAATTCTTCAATCTCTAATAATAAGTAGTTATTTTTATGGATTTAAATAGAAACAATATGGCGATTACTGTGTTCCTAAATTATTTACAAAATAACTCTCGTCTCATAGCAACCACAGACGACCTGATGAAATTATTATTATTCCTGAAAGAAGTATCATACAATTTTAATAATATAAAATAAATAGCTTTGTTTGCTATTATGATAAAATTAAAATAGACCGGCGAAAAAATTATGTGTTTAACTTGTCAGTAAAGTAAATTTAATGCCCTGGCTGCTTTAATAGACTCGGCTGCGCCTCGTCTATTAAATCTTGTACCTTACTGCCTAGTTAAACAAATAACTATTAAGTACCTCTAAACATATTTAGTTTGGTTTAGTAGTAGTTACAATAAAAAAAATGTTAAGAAATATCTCTAGGAAAATAATAAATAATGATATAAAAATAATAACCTTAGCTGGTACTCCATAAAAGCATTGGTCTTCTATGACTGATTTTATCATGTTATAGTTTTAACTAATGCATCTTTTATAGGGCTATGAGACTAGACTAGGCACCAGAGGAACACAACTTTCAGGGGGTCAGAAACAAAGAATTGCTATCGCTAGGGCCCTTGTACGAAATCCCAAAATTTTATTGTTGGACGAAGCCACTTCTGCTTTGGATAATGAAAGCGAAAAGGTGTGAAAATTTTGAGGATAAGTGCTTGAAAATCAATTTTCGACTTATAGTCCCATTCTGATATTTATTAATCTGTATCCACAAATATTTTTTTTTTATTTTTCAGATTGTGCAAGAAGCTTTGGACAATGCAAAGATAGGTCGAACATGTATAACTATAGCTCACAGACTCACTACTATTCAGGATGCTGATGTTATTTGCGTATTAAAAGAAGGCTTCATTGCTGAAATGGGAAAGCATACTGAATTATTGGAGAGGAGAGGATTGTACTATGAATTTTATAAACTACAGTCAGGACAGAATTAGTACACCAAAATCAGTATTCAAGTCTCTAGTAATTATTATTAAATATATAAATATTACCGTCATCTTTCTTGTAGGTGGCTAGTTTAATTTTTAATATTAAGTATTGTCCAAATATACTCGAATTTATACTTAAATAAATTAAAATAAAATTTGCAATTTATATAATTTGTCATATCATTTGTACATAATTCCAATAATTCTCTTTAAATATCCTTTATTTGAATAGTTTTTGTTAAGATATTTCCAAGATTTTGAATATTAAAATGCAAATGTGCAAATTAAAATGCGATATCAAAAGTGACCCAAAACAATTCTGGGCATTTATAAAGAAAAAGAAGAATTTGTCAAACACCTAATACTATGAATTATAATACCAACACAATCACGTCTCTACCTGAAATTGTAAATTCTTTTGCGGACTTTTTTATGCAGTCCTTTTCGCATGATACCTCGATAAATTTGATTTTTCAAAATGGAGTTTGTTACGCGCCTACTATTAACATTCAGTCTTTCTCAGAACAAGAAATAGTAAGCACTATGAAAAAGTTGAAACCCAAATTAACAGCTGGACCGGATCTTGTGCCTTCGTTTTTAATTCGCGACTGTAGGTTTGTTTTTAGCAAACCTCTACAAATGTTGTTTAATCTCTGTCTAAAATCCAAAACAATACCTAATATTTGGAAAATATCTAAAGTTGGTCTCATATATAAAAAAGGTGACAGATCTGATGTTAATAATTATATACCAGTGTCAATTATATGTAATTTTTGTAAGGTATTCGAGTTTTTACTTCATGATTCAATTTTTTCTTTAACAAAAAATCTAATCTCACCGTATCAGCATGGTTTCTTCAAAGGTAGATCTACGGCAACAAATCTCATGATTGTTACGCAAGACATTGCTGAATCAATAGATAATGGTCATCAAACTGATGTTATATATCTTGATTTCACTAAAGCATTCGACTGCTTAGATCACCATCTTCTGCTCAATAAGCTTTTACATTTTGGTCTCTCTTATGACTTAATTGCGTTGTTTAAGTCTTATCTTAATTGTCGTACTCAATATGTTGAGATTCGTGGCTTTAAATCAACTCGATATGTTGCAGTATCAGGCGTGCCACTAGGTTCCGTGTTAGGTCCACTGCTATTCAATATTTTTATTAATGACATACGCCATAAACTCAATGCAAAATTTTTGTTATATGCTGACGACGTAAAATTGTATAAAAGAGTCGAATGTGTACAGGATTGTATTGAACTTCAAAAAAATCTGGAGGTGATTGGGGAATGGTGTATATGTGTATATCAAATTGGCTTCAATTAAACATTAAAAAATGCAATAGTATGTCATTTACTAAAAAAAAGACGCCAACTACATATCACTATTCACTGAATGGCAATCGTATTTCTAGAGTAGATATGTTTAGGGATCTAGGTGTCCTATTTGACACAAAACTATCTTTTTCTCATCACATAAATACTCTAATTTCTGAGGCATTAAAATCATTTGGTTTTATTGTACGATGTACACGTGATTTCTCAAATAGTGATGTAATTAAGATACTTTACACATCATATGTTAGATCTAAATTGGAATATGCGGCAGTTGTTTGGGCTCCGAGCTATGATGTCTACGATACCAAATTGGAGGGAATACAGCGGAAGTTTTTGAAGTATTTGACATATAAAAGCTTTGGTTTTTATCCCGAGCAGGGTTTTCCACATGATGACTTGTTAAGGAGGTTTAACTTTTCTTCATTAAAAAATCGCAGAGAATACTTTATGCTAATCACATTGTATAAGATAATTAACAATCTTATTGATTGTCCTGATATTTTATCAAGATTAAATTTGTATGTACCCAGAACAATTCAAAGGCATTTTAATGTCTTTTATTTACCTACACCGAGAACGAACACTTTAAAATTATCTCCGTTGTATTTAATGTGTGATGTATGTAACAGTCAATTAAATTTTGATATTTTTAGCAGTACTCTGCTAAAAGTCAGCCGTTTCCAGAGCATTGATTCATTGAAAACTCTGGCATTTTCTTTCCATTTTCATCATAATCTGTGTTATTCAACTTTTTTATTGTTATTTTCTTGTGTTGTTAATTTATGTAAGGTGTCTGTGTTTTTTCTTGTATTTTCTTGTCATCTTGCTTTGTAATTGGGTTTATACCTGTAAGGCAAGAACTTCTTAAATAAATAAATAAATAAATAAATAAATAAATAAATGAAATCATTAATAAAGCTGTCACAATCGGTCCGCTAGTCATTGGCTCCGTCAGTCAGCCACTCGGGCTACCTAGCTGTCGGCTTAATCGCCGATTTTCCTGTAATCGAACGATCTATTTTACGATTTTAGTTGTCTTTTGATGCATAATTGTGTGTAATTCTGTCGAGCATAGTTAGTGCTAAAAACAGCAAACAATTCATACTATACGTATACTGATAAAAAAAAACAAATTTATAAAAATTATTCAGGGGGAAAACAAAACAGGGAAATATTTTTTGGAATAGAAAGAATTTTATGAAAGTAAAGGAAAATAATGAGTTCTAAAAATGTCTATTTAAGCTGTTCCAATTACGACAGCTCTTTAATAGTCCAGACGGTATCTGTTTCAGAGTCCATATTTGGGTGAATCGTATATCCATGGAGAGTTTTCGCTTTTTGGCTTTAAAATATCACTAGAAATGAAAATTTTTCTATGCGCATAAAAAAAAACGTGGGCTTAACTTTTGTTAAAGAAATTCGAAAAATGTAATATTTTTCTTCCTATTTAATTATGTATCTTTTTAAGAGTTGATTTTAGGCGAAAATGGAAGTTTTACATAATATGATTAGTTACAAGTCGAATGAATCATGATTATTATCGTAAAAATCGCCAAAAATGGGGTTAAAAAACATTACTTTTTAGGGAATTATTTTGGGGTCTTTAAGTTAGGTATAGGACCATCATGGCTCAAGAAAAGTTCATGTTATGTAGAATCATCACACCAAATTTCATCAAAATTTGCAATCCAGATTTTGATGGCAAATTTTCAAAATTTTGCACAACAAAAACCAAGGTCATCAGATACTTGAAAATTTAATCACATATAAAAGGGCTCTCAAGCTTTCAAACGCTTTTTGAAAAATTCGAATCCGTCAATTAGGAGAGTTCTGGCGCTTGTTTAAACATTGGTCGAATTTTTGTACTATAATTTTGTATTTTGTAATATAATGAGTAAATTTCTCATTTGCTTATATTTTAAACTTTTAGACTTGAAAATTTGCCGAAAGCCACTTTCCATAAAGATTGTGCGGGTCCTTTAAGAGTTTTGATTGTTTACATACCCATTAAGCTTGAAATGCACCTCGTCGCTAAAGATATTTTTTTCAGCAAAATTACCGTCCACTTGTTGATTCTCCAACATCCAATCAAGGAATGTTTGATTGCAGTGAGCGACGGCGTACTGGGGTTACGGGAATTTCCGTCTCACTATCACTCACCATAGTAGTATTTTCCGCTGAACGGCCAACACGACACCGGCTTGTTTTTATTTTCTGCAACCGGATCTGCTTGTTCAAGTTTGGCAACTAATCTTTTCATAGTTGTTTCATTCGGTGCGTTCCTTCTACCGAAAATTCCACGTAATTTGCGCACAGTCTCAGCTACACACCCTCCGTACTTGTAATTAATTTTCACAATCTTCATTCGCTCATCCGTCATAGCGCTCCATTGTATCTAATCGCAACATGTTTGCTACAACATGTGACTCTGTGCAATGCTGCCAACTCTTCGGAATTAAATTGGCGTACAATTCAAATCCTGCGTTAATTTTGGTACATCTATTTTATAAATATTTTTCGAAAAATATTACCCGCTTTCTGTTACTAAATCTCAGTCTTCTAATGACGGTACACATTTTGATCGAATTTTTTATAATGTACGGCCTAAATTCGTATGTTCGTAAGATAAACAAATTTCGACATTTTTTTTTATCAGGGTGGCTGTAAAAAAGACGATTCCATTAAACATAGTTTTTTTATGGTTATCAATAACCAACATCGTGTAAATACCAAAACTTGGTGCTAATATTTCAATTGATTTAGAAAATATTAGAGAAAAATTTTGTCAACACGTCATCTTAAAGCTGCTATGTCCTTGCAAGAAGTTAGAAGTTATCTCTAGTTCATTTTAATTCTTTGCACGCATTTGACCATGGGATTTATAGAAATTTGGCTGTTGTATTAAGGAACACCAAGTTTGAAGAATTACTTCGACAACAAACATTTCTTGACAAAAGATATTTAAAAAACAATTTATTATTATTAGTCATTGAAGTGTATTTACTTTACGAGTAAATTTTTTCGCCGATGGGCGATAAAGTCACTTCATAACTGCCTTATTTATCTATTTCTAGGTAATGATAAATATTTTCTTAATAATACTAATTAAAGATATGTAAAGCGACACGAACTACTTTCATTTTGCTGTAAATAGTTGTTACTAGTAGAATTGCTATTATTTGCAGTATAGGTCAAAGTCTTTTGGCAAAGCGAAAACAGTTTTGGGCATACCTATATATTTGATACAGCATTGATTTAGGTGCTTATTTGGCGTTATCAACTTAAAAAACACTACTAATATCTCGAATCGCGGAAACGCGAATTTTGGATTCGGAAAAATACATTTTCTGCCAAGAAACATTACTGATTTCTTTCTCGATCGAAAACCAAGTACAATATTAATAAATACAACCTGTAAGGTGAGTAATATTAATCTCTCTTATATATTTGTATCAGTATTACTATACAGGCTGTCTCACGATGACGGCCCATTAGAATTATAATTCAGAGACTACTTCGATTTGAATTTTGAAAATTTGGGATACCTACCGGGTTTTCGGGCATGCCCTTCTCAACTAAAATAATGGCGTCCACCTACCACTTCCGGTTATACCGGAAGTCTCCATCAACTTGCTTATTTTAAATGGAACACCCTATATATTATTGCAATATTGCATTCTACGTATTATTTTAGGTGGACTTTTATGAAGTTTCCCTATTCCCAAAATTAACCGTTTCCGAGATATTTAATTGTATTTTCTAGTAAAAAAGATAAAGCAACAATATTTATAGGGGGGATAACTAGACCTCTAAGCTTTCCATCCATACTTTCAATGTGGCTTAATTGCATACAAGGTGCTACAAATTTAATGCCGAGTTTAGTTAACTTCAAACCTTCGTTAAGTCGGTTTTTTTTAATGGAACATCCTGTATGTTTTTCTATATTCTGATACACAATTTTTTTCTCTTTCGAACGGTATCAGGGTTCCCTATACCTATCTCGTCTAGTTTTTTATCTACTATTTTTTGTGTAATCACCTAAAATCATGTAATTTCTTGCGAGGATAGCTGTGGAATTTTTAGAAAACTTCAAAACAAACAACTAAACTGTCAATTTGTTGTTAGTCTCTTGCAGTGACAGTTTAATTTAGTGTTTATAAGAAATGGAAAACAATACATATTCAAATGCTGATATTTTAAATTTATTATTCATTCACTGACGTTGCAATGGAATTATAAGCAGAACATGTACAGTTTTTAATGAGACATATCTAAATTTGCCACCAATCAACAGAAAAACGTTAAGAAGAATTTTAACAAATCAACTAGAGTATGATCGAATTTGTGCAGCCTATTTTAATATTCATCCAGAATCCTCAACTCGTGCCGCAGAGTAAAATTTAGGCATTTCACAGGATGCTAAGAACTAGTGATAAGCAGCCATACAAATTTAAGCTACTTTCTGTTCAATCCTGTCATTTACACCCTTATTCCTTATTGCTTATTGTCCGATCGGCAAACAAACAAATAGACGGTTTAATTAGTCACTTGATTGTAAGAAACCGCGACTTAATTAGTCATTAGTATCAAATCCATGACAAATAGGCAAAGGGTAAATAACGCGAATAGAAACTCTAGAATAGAACTCTAGAAGTACTTAGCTTTTAAAAATTTGAAGTTATATATTGATACAGTACCATTTCCTGATGGCAGTAACTTAGTTTTTTATGAATACATAGAATTGGTGTATAGTATGTTTCTAAATTGTCCTGACGAATCATAATACGTTTATTTTAATATTTAACCCATCAACACATTCGATGAGATCTAATAGGAACAAGCGGCCATATAATTTCTTGTGGAGATTGGATTGCAGGAACTCGTAGGAACTACAGATAGATCCAGAATGATTGAAGTGTTTGGAGATCGCAGCCTGTGCCTGTCTTTGTCAATACTACAGATTTTTATGTTAAAGATGAGATATATTCTTATTATTACTTAATCGCAGATCCAAAAATATTTATTTGCAACGAACCAAGTCAATTCTATGACGATAGTTGACTAGACCAAGGAACACCATAATAACTGTCAAATTCCCTACATATTTAACAGGAAAACTCTCGTTACCGCTATAGAATAAGATCAGATATTAGTAATCCCAACTAGTACAATCCTCCTTGACTAACTCGACCATAACGATATTGCCTTAACTTAATTGGACTGCAAACATGGTCGTCCTACTTCGTATCTTGATTTGATTTTCATAGAACTTTCAAGCTTGATGGTGAAGGTCATCATTGTATGATCTCATCAAACCATAAAACTAGAATCTTTCGTCGTAAGTGCAATCGACTTAAACAAAGAAACAAATTCCATTCGACCGAGAAGACTGAATACAACTGAAAGAAATAAAAAAAATGTTTAAACATAAAAGATAGCCACTGAAAATCGCATAAAATGATCAATCAAGATTAATTTTAGTTTTCGTTTACGTTTCCATTTATTAGTACTTTAATTAATAAAAAATTGCGACCATAGGTTTTCTTGAGCGTTTGTAGCCAGCAAAAAAAATCATAAAGAAATGTCAATTTTTGTTTTAAGAAACATAATATAGTCCGTCTCTGGATATTAGGAATATTATACATACATACAATTATAAAAATTACATAAATATTGACATGTTAACGTCAGTGAACCTTAAATTACTCTCCTTGTTGGTATAGATATTCTCATTTATCTGACCGGCACTGTTCAATTTAAAGTAAAGTAAAGACTGTAAGTATGTATGTTCTTCTGGGTATTTAATAAATTATACTTTGGTATATAAACCTTACCAGTTCCATTTCTTTTTTGTTTACAATTACGGTTTATAAAAGAAAAATATATATTTATTATTTATTGTGACTTCTATCATAATAATCTTTTTTATAAAATCTTCATCACAAAACGAATTCTAAATATTATCTGGACTTAGAACTGTAAAGTTACTCGAAAAATACAAAATATCTTTTCTTATACAAAAAGTTTCAGCTGTGTGGAATATCTAATCAGAATTATATCACTAATCTACTAATTATGTATCGCCTTGAAAATAACATAATAACAACGGACCATGACCCTTTGGATGAGAAGTACGTAGGTGGTCTTGGATGTTATTGTTTCAATTTTATGAAGAAGAACGGAGACAAAATTGCACAGGTAAGCTATATTCACATATTAAATTATACTCACCATCTTTTTACAAATAAATGGCAATATTCATAGTTAATGACATAACGGAAATAACGGTTGTATATTTTGTGAAAAGGAATACATGTATGATTGATTGTAGTTAATTTAAGCATGAACGAAATTATGTCGTAGATAATTTGTTCCCCAATTAACATATAACATTCTAAACGAAAGGCGAAATTCCCTTCTTCAAGCTTATGTAATCTTCACGTTTCCTTATTTGCTAACCACCCTGTATGTTATTTTGAAGTATGAGTATGATGAATGACTTTTCACGATAAACAAAACTTTTTATAAAGAATGACATTTTCCCTTAAAATGCGAAATGTAACAAAAACCAAGTCCGCGTAATTTATGGGACGGTTTTCAAGAAAATAAGGGCTCAATAGTTCTAAGAATGACCCCGGTCAGACGAGGGTTAACCAATATTCAGTATTCAGAGGGTGGTCTGAAGAACTTTTGTCACAGGAACTAATAAATTTAAAAACCGATAATGAGAACAAGCTCAAAACACTTCGGGTAAAGTAATTTCTTAAAAACGTATCGCCATGTGTTGCGTCCGGGAGGCGCCAGCATATCCAGAACAGAACAAAGGAGCCCATGTTTGTAATAATGCGCGAAACACGAGAGACGTAAAGGTTCCGAATTAGAATCAAGTTATAATGTTAGATTGATAATGATTGGAAAAGATATATGACGAGCTGGTTTTTCCGACGGGCTCTTTTCCCAGCTGCAGAATGATAGAATAATAAGTTTGACCAGCCCGTCTCGTACCGCGTGCGGTACGAGGTCACTAGAGGAAGGTGTTAGCTTAATTTAATATGGTGGTGTCCGACTGAAAGCGTGGAGGCGGACACCACACTTTTGCCATTAGGATCTAAAATATGCACTATATAGATTGGGAAGTTATCTTAGAGACAATTAGGGGGGTTAATCCGAAGGGCTAGAGGTTAAGTCAGTACCTCCCGGAATTCAGTTTTTTCTTAATCCTCGAACTGACTAGTTCACTCTCGGAGATCGGTTCCATTCCGGAATTTTATTAATCTTTTATCTTTTTGTAACTTAGAGAAGTGTGTGGTACCAGCTTAACTGCCTACCATTTAGTTCAAGTATATTTCGGTGTACCCTGGGTCTTGGTATTTGGTTATCGTTGTCGTTGTGTCGAACCTAGTGTTTCTGTGTGTGCAAATAAAAGCAATATCTTCCTCGAGTTTGGTGTTTTATTCCATCTGTGCTTAATTGTGCCTAAACACCACTCTGAGACGGGAACATTGCAGCTACACCGGGGCAGTCGTCGAGGCAAGCCAAAGTAAGTGACAGAATCTAGCTATTAAATTCAACATTTTCAAGAACCCCCGTACCTCATGCGATTCATCAATAACAGGCAAAATTTCTCCCTTTCTAGCCTATCCCGTACGATACTGTTCGTACGGATCTAGTAACATCAAAACCCGTCAGGTTACAGAAATAAGGAAAATTACAAGTATAGTTAGGTCCATCCGGGGACAAACTGTATATTATACAGGGTTATCCAAAAGTCCCGGTACGGCAGAAAAACTTTCGAAGAAGGCATTTTGGGAAAAAAATGTTTCAGATAAAAGTGTAAGGATTTTTCTCTGGCTATCTGATGGTGACCTTGGATTTGACCTTGACATTGACCTTCAGTCATTTGAATGTCAAATTAAGTTTTTTAAACGGGAACCCCTATTTTTTATTGCGGATTTGGAAAGAGCAGGAAATTTTACGTCCAAAGATGGTCTTGACCATGACATTAACAATGCCTTCAAGGTCAAATATGGGTCCACTTCCAAAAGTCCCGGTGTGGCAGTACTCCCGAGCAATTAAGTCAAGGTGGTGTGTTTACCCGACCAATTAAGGCAATGTGGTGTATATAACCGACCAATTAAGGCAAGGTAGCGTGTAGTCCCGACCAATTAAGGCAAGGTGGTATGTATACCCGACAAATCAAGACAATGTGCACCTGCTCATTTTTGGGCGATTGAAATAAACTACCTAGATGTAGTATTTAATAATACTGTCGGAGAAGAACTATTGAGGGGCCAGTTAGGTCCCCTAATCTGTGTCCACTTGACTTTTTTCTTGGGGTACATAAAAATAAAGTAAAAAATAGTCAATGTTTGCGCTGATATTACACCTGATATGATAAGCCATTCCCTAACTGTCCGGGATCGTTTGCTTTGCCTTAACCGGCCGGGCTATCTCCATGCCTTAACTGGCTGGGATCGCTAGCTACCCTACAGTGACTGAAATTTTTTAAAATCCTTGAAATAATTTTTTTTGAAGAGCTTGATTATGGTCATATTCGTACATTTGTTTTTCCGTTCTTCCTAACTTATCAAAAAAATAATAGTTAATAATAAATTAATCTGACTTTGACATGACCTTGCGGGTCATTGTCAAAGTCGTAGGCCAGGCCGTACTCGAAGGTTAAATTTCAGCTCTTTCCAAATCCGTAATAAAAAATAGAGGTTACCAATGGAAAAACAACTTTGACCTTGGAATGACCTTGAAGGTCATTGTTAGTCATGGTCAAGACCTTATTTAGACGTAAAATTTACTGCTTTTTCCAAATCCGCAATTAAAAATAGAGGTTCCCATTAAAAAAACTTAACTTGACCTTCAAATGACCTTGAAGGTCAAATTCAAGGTCACCATCAGATAGCCAGGGAAAAATCCTTACACATTTGTCTGAAACATTTTTTTCCCAAAACGCTTTCTTCAAAAGTTTTTCTGCCGTACCAGGACTTTTGGATAACCCTGTATACTCATTACCCTATACATGGTAACTTTCGCGGTAAACGGTGTAAATTACATAGGTACTTGTATAAATCGAATATACAAGGTATTTTTTCATTGTGAAAAACTTTACTTTAAAAAGTAAGGACGGAGGTCTTTTATACAGGGTGAGTCATTAATAATGGTACCCAGCTTAATGGCAGATTATTAATGTCAAAATATAGCAATTGAGCCAAACATGCATTAATCAATTGTTGCTCCTTTTCGTTCTACAGGTTGTTAAAGTTGAAAATTTTTTTTGCTATATTTGAAGTACGTATGATTTGATCGTTTTGAGCATTTGCAGATTTTCCTTTTTTTGGAGTGGCAAATACGGATATGCAGCAGTGTTGGGGTCGCAACTAGGGGGCGCTAGTTATACTGCCCTATCAATGTAAAAACATGTATTTTACAATTTTGAATTTTTTAACTAGAAAATATGTTCAATTGTAATTAAAAAAGGTATATTTGTTACAAATCGATAACTCGACCGTTTTCGAGATACAGACATTTAAAGTTTTTGAATTTGGCGGTAATTAAACTAAAAAAAATATTTTTTTCAAAATACTAGGCATTCACATAATAAATTGACAGCACATTATACCCCAGAGTATATCTTTATAGAAATTTCCCGCACTGTAGGATTGGACGCGGTAGCGAAGTACCTTAACCTGCATGTAGCCCTGATTTAAGTCCGCTGGATTTTTCTTTTGAAGCTATCTTAATTCTCTAGTTTACAAAGACATTATTAATAGTCAAGAACAACTGTGGATAAATATTCAAGAATCAGTTCATATTATCAAACAACATAGAACTTTACTTTTTAACATCAGACAAAATTTAAATAGGTGCGTAGAAATTGAAGTCGCTGGTTGTAGCTTGCTTGGTTATTTTATGATCTGCTAATTTTCTAAATTAATTCCCGCCGAACTTCTAAAACTTAAAACATCTGTATCTCGAAAATAGTTGAGTTTATCGATTTGTAACCAATGTACCATTTTTATTTACAATTGCACGTTGTCCAATAATATCTAGTTCAAATATTCAAAATTGTAAAATATAAAAAGTTACACATACTTTTATGTTAATAGGACAGTATAACTGGCGCCCCCTAGATGTGATACCAATCCTGTTTACATATTCGTATTTGCCATATCAATAAACGTAAAACTACAAATTTTCAAAATAATCGGTAAATACATACTTAAAATATAGCAAAAAATCAAAAACATATTTTTAACTTTTAACTATATTTTGACGTTAACAATCTGCCAGTAAGCTGTGTACCATTATTGACTCACCACTCTCTCCTAAACTTATTTCCAAAAACCTCTGTTAACTTAGAAGTTGGTTAGGGAGGTTTTATTTTAGATTTGGATGTAACTTTTGTTATCAAATATTTTTTACACCGATATTTTAATCGAAAAGGGGTGAATATTGCAAACTTCATTACGAGCTTGTATCCTTTATTGGGAAACACGTTCATAAATTTCTGGACTCTGCCGAATTATCCCACAAAACGCGATAATACGTAAGTCCTGCAAATTTTCAATTAGAGTCGTATAAACTAATTGTTTGTCTTCGAAAGAATAAATCGAGAGGATATCAGTCTGAAGACCGCGAAAACTAAAATTGTGTTCCTGCTCTATACGCAACATTCAAAATCTTACTGTGCAACTAAACTGAAATGGCCTGGAGCACCTGTTCTTCCAGCTGAAAAGTAATTGTTCGAGAGTGCAAATTTACAGCGGTACGTTTTTTTAAAACTACCGGTTCCATTATGATACTGATGTAACGACTAAACATCGTACGATACGGGATAACGCGATATTCAATCCTACATATTGTATAAATATGAAACAAATAATTAATATTTGAACTTAATGAAATAAAATCCACTTTATACACAAAAGAACTAAAGGTTATACATATTGCTGTCAGTAAATAATTCGTATTTGTTGAATTGTAAGAATTTTCCCAATGGTGTTCTTGAAGAAAATCCATTGTAATACTGAATAATGTTTGTTAAATCTGTTAAGAATGACTTAAAAAAATTCTTATAATTTATTGATCTTTTATATTTGAACAAATTATTATGTTATCTACTAATACTTTATGAAGCAATTTCTTTTCTAATGACTTATTTTTCATCTTCCCTGAATATGACATGATAACCTTAATTAAAATTAAAAAATTTTATACTGAAATTAAAATGACACTATTTTCTCCATATTATTCCTAGGATATATTAGTTTATTAGATGGATTTTTTGTGGTGGGTACATTTTAGATGATCTATGAGATCGAATTTATTTCATGCATGGTTTTAGACAGCCTTTTATGTATATTAAATATGATTTAGTGCATGTTTCTTGGATTTTAGATAAACGTAGCAACAGACGAACAAGAAACCTATAACACCCTTTTACTCAAAAGCATAAGGACAGGAATTGCCTTACGAAAAATGGGAATAAAAAAAGGTGACTTGGTAACGTTCTTTTCTAAGAGAAATTTAAATTCGTGCGTCCCAATGATTGCTAGTTTTCTAATAGGAGCAATACCGTCATACATAGACACGACTTTTCCCTTATTTGACATTGTTCACTTTATGAAGACTATTAATCCGAAACTGTTTCTCGTAACTCCGGATTTCTTAGAGACAATTAAGAGTCTTATCGGTGAGGAGCAGCAAAATACGAGCACAGTTGCTTTTACTGAAGATTTTTTTACACCAGTGGAAGAAGAGGCAAAATTCATGCCAATTTTCGTAGATGACTTACAAGAAACGGCTATTATTCATTTTAGCAGTGGTAGTACAGGTTATCCCAAGGGCATATACATAAACCATTATAGTTTGGTTTGCAACAAAGCCTTCTCTTTTGAAAACCTGTGGATCGAAAACCAACCCAAAGTTGTACTTACTTTCGATTCTCTGCACTGGAGTATTGAATCTTTACGTCTATTATGTTCGATTAAGGAAGGTGTTTGCAGACTGATAGTTCCAGATGAAGATGATATGAAAAAGGCATGGTTTTTTCTAGATAAATATAAAGTGAGTTAGTTTATTAGTTTTATTTTATCATATACAGTATGAGATTAACGCAGTACTAACAATTTATGTTTACATTTATTTTTAGGTAAATCTGGCGTATCTAATTCCTTGGACGTTAGTAAATATGTTTGAAAATGGAAAACCCAACAATATGGACTTTAGAGATTTAACCACAATTTATATAGAAGGATCCCTTCTGCCTGCAAAATATCATCAAGGTCTTCAGAAAATCTTACCGAATGTAGATATTTTTCATTGGTATGGACAGTCGGAGGCAGGAGGACTCACCACATTTAGAAAGAATGACTTGCACAGAGAATACAATAGAACAAAACCAGGATGCGTCGGAACACCTATTCTAGGTTTTGGTATGTCTTTGAAAGTAAGTTAATGAGAATAACTTGGTGATATACGTTACATGAATTTTAAAAATACTCGGTATTGGGAAAGTACTCGTGAAAGTATGAAGAAAAAAATGATATGAACTTACTTGGCCCCTACTTAAAGTACCGTGTATTTCCGAGTTGTTAATGGATTTGCAAGTTATTAAGAGCTTGCAACTTTCCGAAAGCCGCCCCCCCCCATGCCCATATGGGCTGACTAAGATTTATTAATTTAATAATATCCACCAAGAGTCACTTAACAACAGTCAATAGATAATTTAAGAGAAACAATTGGCTGACAACAAGATTGTTTAAAGGATATTTCCGAATTCTACGATTAATACTACGACGAACTCTTAAAAAAATATGTATGTCATTCTTTACTTCCTCAGCTGCTGTAAAAATTCTTTGACGAAGCTTTTCCACGCTATCAATAGGGTTAGAATAAACAACATTTTTTAAGTGACCCTATAAAAATTAGTCCATGGGTCTGAGATCCAGTCATCGCGCAGGCCATTTGACTGGTGCGTTCCCTCGGCCTATTCATCTCTCAGGAAAATTTAAATTTAACCATTGTCTAACAGCTAGTGTACTATGAGAAGGAGCTCCGTCATGTGCTTACCACATGTTTTCACGGATAGCTAGTGGCACTTCTTCAAGCAATATTGGGAGTTGCTCATTTAAAAATCTCAAATATTCGGCTCCGCCGGGACGCCGAAGAAGAATAAACGGACCAATACGATTCCTGCCCATACATTTAAACTAAAATTATGTTGAAATTTGGATGTACAAACTTGGTAAGGATTTTCGTCAGACCATGAGTGATTATTGTGTTGGTTCACTAAACCATGTCTTTGAAATGACGCTTCATCACCAAACAAAATATATTTATGTTTTCCCTTGAAATGTTCATATACCATTGACAAAAATCTATCCTGTTAGGTAAATACGCAGCAGTCAATAAAAGATCATCATTCGCAATTTTCCAAATCGTAGTATGTGAAACGTTATACTCTGTCGCCAATTTTCTGATTCTAGTTTCAGAATTCTGAACTTGTAAATTGCCAAGGACAACTTCTTCAAGTTCTACATCGCGAATAAGACGTCTTCTGCCAGTACTTTCAGAACGAGGCTGAATGTGTCCGTTTCTTCTTTCTACCGCCGCAAAAGATTTTCTAGCAGGAAGACGACGTTTGGGATATCTGGCATGATAAAGTCGTACAGCAGCAGCACAGTTCTTGTAACTTTCAAAAAATACTTGCAACATACATCGACATACTACATTAGTATACATAATTTGTTATTTTATTCAATTCCAAAACTATTTAATATCTAGGACGAGTTGCTTAAATAAATAAAAAAATGGAGTAGGTAAATGTCATTTGGCAATTTACGAGTATTATCAAATGACATTTACCTACTCCATTTTTTTATTTATTTAAGCAACTCGAACCTCGTGGAGGTATAAATGACCTGGCTACACGACGTATGTGTAACTCACTAATAACCCTGTATAAAATCATTACTGGATTAATTGATTGTCCGTATCTTCTAGCTGCCTTGTGTTTTCATGTTCCCCGCTATGGAACCCGGTCTTCGTCTTTGTTCTATCTTCCCACACCTCGAACAAATTTATTAAAGTTTTCACCGTTGTATACAATGGTTGAAAATCACTCTCGAACCTTGTGGATATTTTTCATGACAATATATCCCATATTAAGAGAGTTTTCTCTAGTCATAACTTACAATATTAATATAATTAATTTAATTTTTAATCATTCTTTATATAATCTGCTTTAGGATAATTATATGTATACTAGTTTTAATTGAATTTTAAAATGATTGTTTTGTTGGTATTTATGTTAGCATTTATTTTAACTTTGTCGACTGTATTTTTTTATTTAGTCTATATACTATATACGTAGTGGTTATCTTTCATAATTTTTTATAACTTTTATAATCTGTATTATTGTTAACTGTTTTTTTTACTCTTGTACTTAGTAATCTGATTTTGTTAATGCATCTATTTTTATTAGCTATTTCTCCCACCTATTAATTGGTTTTAACTGTCAGGTGGTGTAACTTAAATAAATAAATAAATAAATAANGATAGATAGATAGATAGATAGATAGATAGATAGATAGATAGATAGATAGATAGATAGATAGATAGATAGATAGATAGATAGATAGATAGATAGATAGATAGATAGATAGATAGATAGATAGATAGATAGATAGATAGATAGATAGATAGATAGATAGATAGATAGATAGATAGATAGATAGATAGATAGATAGATAGATAGATAGATAGATAGATAGATAGATAGATAGATAGATAGATAGATAGATAGATAGATAGATAGATAGATAGATAGATAGATAGATAGATAGATAGATAGATAGATAGATAGATAGATAGATAGATAGATAGATAGATAGATAGATAGATAGATAGATAGATAGATAGATAGATAGATAGATAGATAGATAGATAGATAGATAGATAGATAGATAGATAGATAGATAGATAGATAGATAGATAGATAGATAGATAGATAGATAGATAGATAGATAGATAGATAGATAGATAGATAGATAGATAGATAGATAGATAGATAGATAGATAGATAGATAGATAGATAGATAGATAGATAGATAGATAGATAGATAGATAGATAGATAGATAGATAGATAGATAGATAGATAGATAGATAGATAGATAGATAGATAGATAGATAGATAGATAGATAGATAGATAGATAGATAGATAGATAGATAGATAGATAGATAGATAGATAGATAGATAGATAGATAGATAGATAGATAGATAGATAGATAGATAGATAGATAGATAGATAGATAGATAGATAGATAGATAGATAGATAGATAGATAGATAGATAGATAGATAGATAGATAGATAGATAGATAGATAGATAGATAGATAGATAGATAGATAGATAGATAGATAGATAGATAGATAGATAGATAGATAGATAGATAGATAGATAGATAGATAGATAGATAGATAGATAGATAGATAGATAGATAGATAGATAGATAGATAGATAGATAGATAGATAGATAGATAGATAGATAGATAGATAGATAGATAGATAGATAGATAGATAGATAGATAGATAGATAGATAGATAGATAGATAGATAGATAGATAGATAGATAGATAGATAGATAGATAGATAGATAGATAGATAGATAGATAGATAGATAGATAGATAGATAGATAGATAGATAGATAGATAGATAGATAGATAGATAGATAGATAGATAGATAGATAGATAGATAGATAGATAGATAGATAGATAGATAGATAGATAGATAGATAGATAGATAGATAGATAGATAGATAGATAGATAGATAGATAGATAGATAGATAGATAGATAGATAGATAGATAGATAGATAGATAGATAGATAGATAGATAGATAGATAGATAGATAGATAGATAGATAGATAGATAGATAGATAGATAGATAGATAGATAGATAGATAGATAGATAGATAGATAGATAGATAGATAGATAGATAGATAGATAGATAGATAGATAGATAGATAGATAGATAGATAGATAGATAGATAGATAGATAGATAGATAGATAGATAGATAGATAGATAGATAGATAGATAGATAGATAGATAGATAGATAGATAGATAGATAGATAGATAGATAGATAGATAGATAGATAGATAGATAGATAGATAGATAGATAGATAGATAGATAGATAGATAGATAGATAGATAGATAGATAGATAGATAGATAGATAGATAGATAGATAGATAGATAGATAGATAGATAAATAGATAGATAATTAAATAATTAAATACATAAATCCGTATTAAAAATATCTCCTCAATGGTTGGCTTTAGCCATTTTCAATAAGTATACCTTTTTTTGTTAAAAAGTCCAATATTTCATATTTTGTTACTTAAATCTGTATACGGGAGTTTTCAAAAAAGTTACTATATATTCAATACATAAATTTTAAACATTTCTGACCAAAATGATAGAAATTATTAAAGAAAATCATTTTTAATTTTTCACTTTAACACGCTGTATCTTTTTTATTATGCGATTTGGGATATAGGTATTTTAGGTTAAATCGACTTATTTTCACCCAAGCAATATATAAATATGCTTATTCCAATAATATGAAACTTAATCCAAACAAATTTGCGGTTGTGGTATTCTGTTCTAAAACCAAGCTGTAGGAAATTACACCTAGGTTAAATTTGCACATTGAGGTAGGTCGTTAGATATGTTGTTCCATATCAAAAATGTTGGGCTTATGTTTGATACAGAAATGTTATACGGCATTAAAATTGTTATATATGAATAGATATTTACTTAATTATAAGTTACGTAAAAAAATGTATGAATCTCTAGTAATTCCTATTATTAATTATTATTGTTTTATTGTTTATTTTTCCTGTTTAGACAAATTTACCCAGAATTTAGATTACAAAAAGTCTTGAACGCCTGCTGCAGATTTGTTTATGGTATGAAGAAATATGATCATGTTACTCAAATATATAAAGAACTCGGTTGGCTTAAAATTAGCAATTTGTATAATTATCATATGGCTATTTTTGTGAAAAAATTACTCAAAAACAATTTGGCGCTTTATTTAAGGAATAAACTTTCTTATCGTAATCTTAATCTAAGGCATGTCCGTCTTCTTCAATTGCCAAGATTTCATACAGCTTTGTTTCAGAGATCTTAGTCATTTAATGCTATAAGTATATATAACAACTTAAATGAGTTTTAAATATATGCTTGTAAATAGCTTTCGGAAAATTTGTAAAAAATATTTACTTTCCACACAATAATTTCTTCTTCATTACCCTGTGTTCTGTAAGATCTTATTCTGTTTTGTTTTTTTTAATGATTTTAAATTTTATTCTATTTTATATATATAATAAATACTTATTTTGTTTTAGGTGGTTGACTTAGAAAGCGGAGAAGCAGTTGGGCCTAATAAACCAGGAGAGCTTCGCGTTAAAAGTCGAGCTTTAATGAATGGTTATCATAATTTAGACAGTTCTGATCAGTTTGATGATGACGGTTGGATAAAAACTGGAGACATGGTATATTATGACGAAGATTTTTGTTTTTTCATCGTCGATAGAATTAAGGATCTGATTCTGTTCCAAGGTTTGCATATTGTGCCAGCTTTGGTAGAGGCAGAACTCTTAACTCATCCCGCTGTGAAGTTTGCGGTAGTGGTTGGTGTTCCTGATGATAAAGATACTGAACATGCCTTGGGTTTGGTTGCTCTATATGATAATTTTAGTTCTGTAACATCAGGAGAAATAGAAAAATACGTAGAAGAAAGAGTTCCCGATAAGTATCGATTAAGGGGAGGTGTAAAGATGATAAAAGAATCTTATCTAAAATCCACGAATAAGATAAAGAGGTTTAAGTTAAAACAATTAGTTTTATTTGGTGAAATTTGAGCTATTTTAAAAAATAAACAATAACAAATAAAATAAGTGACTGGGACAGGTTATTTTATGATACTAGAATATAAATAGGTCTTTATGTAGAATTCTCATATTGATTAAGATAATTTGCTCAATAAAATCATATTCTAAGTTTATTTTTTTTTTATTAAATATTATTATTCAAATAAAGATTAAGAAAATTTTTAACTGAATAAAACAACCTAAGAATAAATGGTTATTTCTCTTAGAACAGCGAAAGAATGTGGAAATGTGCTAGCAACTAATTGGAATGGAAAAACTGATAGGCTCATGTTAGATGGACATCGTGATCGTATCTAAAGAACAAACCATCGATAACTTATCACAACCTTGTGATAAGATTAATACTTAGCAGACTTATTTTACATTTAAAATTTTGTTCAGTTTTCACCAGATAGCTGTTCACAATAAAGAAAATAGGAAATTTAATTCGCAGTTTAAGTTTTATAATGCAACTCGGTTAACTAAGGTAAGTACCTATTTAATTTAAATAAAATAGATTAATGTTTTGTTGTTTATTTTAGCCTTTTTGAATCTTGAGAAAGATAATAAATGATTATTTATCGAAGGATTTGTTCATAGTTAAAAAGAGTTTTCTTTCAATCACCAATTGACGCCATCCCCAATATTTGTTTATGTTGATATACTGGGTGTTACAAATTAGTAGGTCAAGCAGGTAATTACATATTCTTTAAACTAAAATAATAGGACTTTTCTTATGCCACTTTTCATTTCATAAATCGATGTCGCTTAAGTTACAATATCTTGTAAATGAGGCACCAAATAAAAATCTTACAAGAGTGGAAGAAATAGAATATAAAAAAATAATGCGAAAGCCTACTCAAAAAAAGAAATAGGGGTCCATGGGTACTGCAACCCTCCTCCCCTCCGTTTGCGTTTTGATATTTTAAATCAAAATTACACAGAAAGTGTGGCGACTTAAGATCAAAATGTGTGCTAAATTTCAAATAAATATCCCTACAATTACCGGAGTTATTAATAAAAATAATTTTTTAAATTTTAATTTTGACACCCTATATTTTGCAAATGGGGCTCCGAAATGAAAAGTGGCATTAGAAAAGTCCCATTCTTTTAGTCCAAAGAATATGTGGTTAGCTGCTGGACCTACTAATTTGTAACACCCTGTATATACAGGGTGTTAATGAACTTATGTCAAATATTTTTGCCACATGTCCGTTATTGTCAACATGAGGTAAATAAACGAATTTGTGTTGAGTAAAATGTAATTTTAAAATCTGACTTACCTCAACATTGCCAGGAGCCACCATTTGAGAACTGCTGATTTTCATAGAAGATGTTCGACGTATCCACTATTTGCTTGCACACAAGCTTCAGCGCGACGTATCCAATTCGCTTGCATCGGCCCACATGTTCACTGAAAACTGTCGCATTGCGATATTTCTGGTGCTACGATGCGGATCTTCTTCGACGAGATCTGAAATCATCTCTTCGACATTTAAGATTTTTAGTGGTCGCCCTGAGCCATCGTCCCTTCGCCATAAATTATGAGCATATCATAATATTCGCGATTGCTAAATAAATGCGCCATTTTCAAACGAAAACTTGGAAATATGGCTATTAAATGTAGGTAGGTACTCTCGAAAAATAGCACAGCAATCACTCCAACAATGTATTACAAACTGACTTTCGAATACAGTCCGGCTTCATAAGAAACCTACAAACTCGTAAAAAACGTTACAGAATGTTTAGTAAATACTCGCCACGATAAAATACATGTATTTAAGCAGTTCCAAAACAGTTTTAAACATATTTTTAATTAGCCTTTTTCTCTATGACCTTAAACTTCCGATACAAGTTTGCGACATCATTTAACTCAGTTTTTTCTCCTTTTTCACCCCTTTAAATCTTTGACATAGGTTCATTAACACCCTGTATATGTCCAAAAATTGAAGCGACTTAAAATATTGAGTTTGGGCTTAAAATGTTCGTATAAATGAGTACTTTCGAAATTCGAATGGTCTTTTTGAAAAACTCCTTTTAGCAAAATAACCCAAAAACCTGATGAAGTGGTCTCACAATACGATTTCTACGACTTGTCTCGTGTCAATAATCGCTTGAATTGAGCTGTTTGGCCCTAAAAGCCTCATCAACTATTAAACCCATGACCCCTTTACCTTATAACCCTCAAAGCCCCATAACCCCATAACCATACAGTCACATAAGCTTCAAAACCCACATAATCGAAACTTTGATTGTCTTTTTATACGTCTGTAATCCTGCTATCCCATACAACACCAAATCCCATATTCCCATACCAGAATATGCTCACATTCTTCACAATTTTGCCGATTTAATAATTTATGTAACTCTACGTTTTAAAAAATACTCTGTACAACATTATAATTTGTAGATTGAAAGAAAAAGTCAACAACCCAAAAATAATCAGAATCGATTAATACATATTCCAGTTATTTACAAAGTTCAAAAAATTTTGAGGCCATCTAGCGGCCAAACGAAGCGATTTTGGATATAGATGAATTAGCCTAAATTTACCTATTTTGAGTCCACGAGTCTGTGGCCTTTCATTGTACACGTTTTCTGGGGCACCCTGTATATAAAACAGGAACAGGAAAGGGTAGTCTGACTGACCAGTCAAGAAAAAACAATTATACAGGGTGATTCACAAATGGTGACCAAAAATGAAACCTCGTATTCTTTGGTGAATTTTAAGGGGAGTCTCCTATAAAGTTTTGATCTAGGACACTTCGTTAAAAAGATATAGGTTGTTAAACTTCGGCTATTTAAAAACTAGTTAGTAAAATAATTTGAAATTGGGCACATGTATTTATGTAAACATTGTCCAAAATCTGAGGGCTCTTCCTAAAATTTACATGCTCCAGTGGCGGAGATACAGGGTATATTTTGTTAAATAAAATTGTACGCCACTGCTTTATGGTAACAATATTTTCGAATTCGTCTTTCAATTTTCTACAAATTATTACTCTCTTATGTTTTTCGAAAAAAGTCTGATTTTCGAGTACAACTTAAAAAACGAACTGAGAGCACACTTTGATATTCGAATATAATGCCTTTTAAAATTACATAGTGGGCTGCGATAGCAACTTTGACATTCTGAGCAGTTAAAAGAAAGAATAAATAATACTTTTCATAAGATTCAAGCAACAATAATTTTCGAACAAATTAATTTTCGTTACAAAAAAGATGTCGGGCTTATTTTCATGGAAATGGAGGTATATTTGATCATTTACTCAAATAAAATCACTAAATGATGACTAATGTTATTAATTTCTTTATAGTCCATTGAAATGTTACATTTTTTTGGGCTTAGCGTGCAAAAGTCAGAGCACGCAATTTTATTTTTTGGATATCAAGAGGGGGTTAGTGTAAAGTTAAATCCATGTTTGTGGGGTCGCAACCCTTGAGCGTCGGCCGCCATCTGTAAAAAGGGCTGCGAATGGTTTTTATACTAGTACTTACTATATCGGCCAAACTATTCCTCGCAGAGAAAATTTGTAAACACATTTCTTGTTGCGAATTAAATTCTCTACAAATTTAGTTCCATAACTTTTAGTCGTAGAACCAAAATTAGCAAAGTTATTAACAAAAACATATAATTTGGGAAGAAATTTTCTTTTGGTCGTTATAACTTTTTTCTGGTCATTTTACAAAAAATTACGTCAGAGCATTTTGATAGAGGGGTTTTCAAGGAATAATTTCCATTACATACTTTTTTCAAATTTTATTTATTAATTAGGGTTTTACAGCGATGCGAAACTTCCACTATTCTTCAGTACTAGTAAGTATACATACATTAATAAGAATGATTAGGCATAGTTTTCTCTCATTTTTCCATTATTTTTATAAGAAACATTTTAATGATTTATATTGCAATGTTGTTAATTAGTTATTGACTCTTTTCTCCACCCCCTAAGGGGTAGAGTCTGGTGGCGCGTTTTTTTTTTACGTCGTATCCCTAGTATGTATTTCCCAATCTACTGTGTCCTCAGTCTCTTTGATGTGCCAGGCTGCGACTCAGGATCTGGTGGAGCTTCCGATATTGAATTGTCGAGGAAGGATGGATAATGATGTGGCGTCATTGTTGGCAGTTCATCTTCAAAATAATTTTCCTCGATCAATTTTGATATCTCCATTATGTTGCTGCATGTCTCCCCAGAACAATTCAGGCATACTGCAGAACATTTGAGGCCTGCCTTCCGACATCCACTCGTTGCTCCACAGTTTCCTTTGCATCGGCAGAATATCAACTTTAGAAGCTCAGGGGGTGCTGGAGGTTTTGAACTTTGAATAGGCATCAATATTTGTCCATACTTTTTCCAGCCCCAGTCTTGAGGGTCGTTGTAATTCCCGAGCCACGACTGGACCTGACAATAGACTCGGAGGTTGTGCAAGCGGGCTGTGTCTTGTGTTGGAGGAAGTGAAGACAAATTAAATGTATTCTTTGTCACTGACTTGGCGAATCGTTTATATCTAAGACTGTCCAGAGAATCATCATCTTTATTGCCACCATATAAAGAGATGAAAAAACGTTCACCAACGGCAGTGAGCAAAGTTGGGTCGACTCTCTCATTGAGGAATAACGCTGTTCCACTAGCTAACTCAGGACGTGTCTCCAGTGTTGCGAGAAATTTCATTTTACCGATGTTGTAAGCTGCTGAAGTTGTGTCACATCCTGAGAAGGCATGGAGAAACAACAGATTATCCGCAATGACTTCTCCGTACATAAAACTTGACGGACATTATAATTGTTCGGCTGTACGTCCTTTCGATGGTTTAAAAAAATATATATTTGAATGTGTTCTTCCAAATGCCGCGAGCAAGACAAGAATGTCGATATCTTCGGCGACAATAGTGACTGAGTCGAACGATTGGGATGCAGCAAGAGCGGAGCGAACGATGAGGGTATCTGCATCTGATTCTGCTTGGTCGACACTGAAACCCACCTCCGACAATGAAGTTTTGAGAAGTTCAATGAACTTAGCCTTGTTCTTCTCATTATCAAGAAAACTTTGAAGGACGCCTCCTATGCCTAATCATTCATATTAATGTATACTTACTAGTACTGGAGAATAGTGTAAGTTTCGCATCACTATAAAATCCTAATAAATGAATAAAATTTGAAAAAAGTTTGTAATGGAAATTATTCCTTGAAAACCCCTCTATCAAAATACTCTCATGTATTTTTTTGTAAACTGACCAGAAAAAAAGTTATAACGACCAAGACAAAATTTCTTCCCAAATTTTTATCTATTTTCGTTAATAACTTTGTTATTTTTGGTTCTACGACTAAAAGTTACGGAACTAAAGTTGTAGAGAATTTAATTTGCAACCAGAAATGTATTTACAAATTTTCTGTGCGAGGAATAGTTTGCCCGATATAGTAAGTAGTAGTATAAAAACCATTCGCAGCCCTTTTTACAAGATTGCGGCCGACGCTCTAGGGTTGCGACCCCACAAACCTGGATTTAACTTTACACTAACCCCCTCTTGACATCCAAAAAATAAAATTGCGTGCTCCGACTTTTGCAACCTCAAATGTAACTTTTCAATGGACTATTATTCGAATAAATAACCGAATGATGCTTGTGCTTGTGCTTGTCATGTAATTTAAGTAAGTGTTTTCAGATGGTTTTTAAAATTTTTCTCGAAAATCAGGCTTTTTTCGAAAAACATGAGTAGTAATTTGTAGAAAATTGAAAGATGAATTCGAAAATATCACCGTAAAGCAGTGGCGTACTATTTAATTTAGAAAAATATGTCACCGATACCCTGTAGACAATGTTTACATAAATACATGTGCCTAATTTCAAATTATTTCACTGATTAGTTTTTAAATTATTTAAAAAAATATATATATTTTTTGAAGTTTACCATCTTAGTATTGTCACTTTTTTTAAAACAATTTTACATTCAAACAAGTTATAAAAATGGAGGAGGATCAATGTCACACAATGTGAAAAAATATAAAAAAAATAACGCGCTCCGATGTTTGACATCAGACTAACTGGTCCAGCGGCAGAGTATGAAAATTACGAGAAGAGATGAAAAAAAAATCAGTTTTCACCGCTGAATTTTAAAAAACGAACTTATGTAAGGGACTCTCTAAAGATTAAAGCTAGGCGCTGTATAAATATTACTTCCATGCAAAGCTAAACCCTGTTTATTACTAGCATTCGAATACTGAGGGTACTTATTTGATGAGTATTTAGGAAAATTTTTAGAATTAAAAATATTTGCTTAACGCCTACTACCAAACGAATTAAAAGTATAGAGTAGATATTAATCAAAATTCTATTTTTGTATTTTAAATATCGTTCCATATGAGCCATAATCCTATTTGTTAAATATATACATGCTGAATATGTAATTAATGCCCTATTTTGCAAAAATATACCTGTTGCCTGATCCCCATATTAAGGCAATTACAATAAAAATTTTATCCCAGCAGTTAGATAAAAATTTTAAAGCAAAAAGTATAGCACTTTTGTTGACACGTACTGAATTATCAGTAGTGTAAATAGGGGTATAAGTATACCTATTATCATACTTGTTTGTGTTTAATGTTCTTCGTTGGGACAATCACTATGAAAGAATTCTAGTAGTAGGTTGTTTTTCCTAATTTATAATTCAACAGAATAAAACGTAAAAGTTAACGGATCGTATTTAAATACTCGTTCTGTACTGTACATACCTAAATGTGTTCGTTATTTTTATAATTTGTGTTATTAGGAAAATCATACTATCATAAGAAAAATGCAGGTGGAGAATAATATCATTACGACTGATGGCGCACCTCTAGACGATATTTATAAAGGAGGTGTTGGATATTTTTGTTTTGAATTGATGAAAAGACATAGTCCCAAGATAGCCGAGGTAAGTAGTATTGTTAGATTTTAAAAACTGCAATCTTATCCGTTTCTTAACAAAATAACCTTAAAAGAATGTGAGGAGCTCTACTTCAGTGCTAACAGAAAGATTATTTTGTTTTATCTTGCCTATGTAAAGCATTTGTACAAATGACAGAGAACTTTTGATATTAAAATTTTTAATAATTTTGAGCCTACATATTCAGTATCGCTAAAGTCAGAGAATTTAAGAAAAATCAATGGCGCGCGGAGATTCTTAGTTACTTTTTATTTCTAACACTAGTTTACATATTACTCACATTTAGAGAAGTTTCGTAAGTTATTAAATCACTTCATCAAGTCTTATTAATCTAAATAAAAAATTACCATATCCTTCGTATATTCCTTCGTATAATAAACGTATTTATAACAATATACAGCGCTTTTCCTAAATACGGTTCGTAACTTCACATGTTTATAAGAACTTTTTTGTCTTGAAATACCATAAGAAATTGTGTCCTGAAGTTACAGACTGTACATAGAAAAAACACTGTAAAACTATAATATACAGGGTGTTAATGAACTTATGTCAAATATTTTAACCACATGTCCGTTATATCACAATGAGGTAAATACACGGATTTGTGTTGTGAGTGAAACGTAATTTTAAAATCTGCCTTAACTTAACGATTGTAAGGAGTCACCTTCTGAGAGCTGTCGTTCAGTATATTTCGCACGTTACACATGACAAGCTCTGTGGGCATTTTCTTTTGCTTCGCCATAAATTATGAGCATATCATAATATTCGCGTTTGCTAAATAAATGCGCCATTTCCAAACGAAAACTTGGAAATATGGCCATTAAATGTACACGCAAAAACAGCACAACAATCACTACAACAATGTATTACAAACTAACTTTCGAATACAGTCCGGCTTCATAAGAAACCTACAAACTCGTAAAGAGTATTACAGAATTTTTCGTAAGTACTCGCTGCGATAAAATACATTATTTCAGCAGTACCAAAACAGTTTTAAACACATTTTTAATAAGCTTTTTTCTATGACCTTAAATTTCCTATACAAGTTTGTGACATCAGCTAACTAAGTTTTGGATCCTTTTTTACCCCTTTAAATTTTTGACAAAAGTTCATTAGCACCCCCTATAATGTGTATAATTTAGGTAAAGTAATTATACATTCCAGCTTGATGCACGCACAGGACAAGAAGAAACTTATGAATCATTATTAAAAAAGAGCATAAGAACAAGTATAATCTTACAAAATAAGGGTGTACAGAAAGGAGACACGATAGTGATATATTCTAAGAACCAATTGTACGCATGCGTTCCGTTGATATCGTGCTTTTTTCTCGGAGCTATTCCAACCTATTTGGATGATTTACTGACTTCAATTGAAGTTGTTAATGTACTCAAACAACTAGATCCGAAACTAATTCTAACAACATCTGAAAAGCTGGAAACTATTCAAAAGTTTATTAAAACTGAAGGTAATCATGTTAATACTGAAATATTAATTTTCGACCAGGGATTTTATGAACCACAAGAAAATGAAGGTGAATTCCAACCCATATACGTGAATGATTTAAAGGAAACGGTAATGATTCCCTTCAGTAGCGGAACCACAGGTTTTCCGAAAGGAATATGCATAAGTCATTATGCCTTATTACGTCGTAACTACGATGGTCTTTGCCCAGCAGATAAAACGAAAGTATTATTCAGTTACGGCTCTTTCCACTGGCTCATACAAGCAGCACGCCTGCTATGTTCAATTCGAAGTGGAATTTGCCGCTTGATCGATCCTGAACCGTTTGAGGCCAAGAAAGTTTGGTATTTACTAGAAAAGTTCAAAGTAGGTATCAGTTTTGGTGTATTGTATAAGTTATTTTTAGCTATAGCAAATGCTACAGTGCTTCAAACTCAACTATTTTTAGCCATAGGGTAGATAAAGTACTGTTTTTGTTGTCATTTATTTATATACAACTTTTTTAGTGAATTTTTTCATTAAAATTAATATTATCTTTAATTGCACAAATAACATTTCCAGATACCTATTTCTAATCTTGGAACAGAATTTCATTGTTGAAACAAATCAAGGCGTAGAGTTGCAACAAATGTCTATACTATCATTAAATATTTTCTGCAATGCTTCAACCTTTCTTGCTACCGAATCTGAATTATATTTGAAGAGCGACGGAAACAAAGGTTATATACATTTCTGAACTCGGTAAATTAAAAATATCGCAAATTTTCTTACATTTTTCTGAATATTATACAAGATATTTATTTCTACAGATTAGATGGTACACTTTTCTTGTCGATAGTTGATAAAGAACTTCTTGTGAGGCGCGTTTTTAGCCCCACAACAAAAAAGCAGGAGGTCCGAAAGGCAAGACCATGGTATTTATATGTTTTTTGGGTCGCTGAATACGAATCCGGTGTCCGTTTGACCCGATTAGCTCTGGTTGAAGGTCAGTTCAAGGTCAAATGTAGAGAATCAATTGCCAACAAAGTGAACCTACATATCTATATGCTTTGGGATCAAACGGACACCGGGTTCGGATTCAGCGACCCCAAAAATATATAGCTAAAATGGTCTTGTCTTTCGAACCTCCCACTTTTTTATTTTGTGGGGCTGTGTTTTCGATAATCAACATTGGAAGTTTTTAACTTGCATAATTCACTGGGCCGTCACGTCCCAAGCAATACCATTGAAGCATCTCTTAAAAATCTCACAACTTGATCTGGTTCCGAGATTTCAGTTTTTTTGGTTTGTAACCATCAGTTAATTTTATAAGCAATGAAGTCAGTTTGCTGTATCTGAAAACATTATGAAGTGTTATTTGATGGAACAATTTTTATTTATCAGGAACATTGATAATTTTTTTTCCACGACTGAAGAAGGTTTTTCTTCTTCGAATACTTTTAATTGTGAAAAAAACATTAAAGCCACAAACAAGTTGTATTTTGCAATATATTCTAAAACCACAAAATAAATTCAGTTTTGCAACTTCAAATAATCCAAAAATCAATTATTGGAATGAATCTTGAAATATTTCCAAAACCCCTCTTAAATGTTGACATCACCTGAAGAAGGGCAACACTCAATTAAAAGATATTTGACCTACTTTTCCCACAAAAAATTCTCATTAATCTGTGACCTACTTCCCCTATATTGACGAGAAAATATCGACCAGTTCTTCTTCTTCTTCTACTATCTGTGGTTCGTTCTATTCAAGTCCCGTACCACCGCGGCCTTATCAGGCCTATTATGCATCCCACTGCTCAATTCTATTCAGTAAGTAGTTTTGTCCTATTTACAAAGTTCAAAAACTGCCTTGCCGACACTTCTCACTCAGCTCCCTGGGTTCCAAGAAGGGGTTTTACCCAGGTGCATCATTCTACTAAGTGTAAATCCTGGGCACTTGCCCCTGCAGAGAAGTTTCATCGACCGACACACATCTTCGATAGACCGGAATGTCTGCAAGCCTTAGCTTCCTAATAAGTGACAGTGTCCCGTTATGAATCCCGTCACTCTCCTGAGCCGGATTTTATTCAAGCACAGTAGATTGTGTGCTGTTTCCTTCAAAGGATACACCATGACCTCCTTAGAACGGCTATGTCCTGGCCTTGAAGGCCAGCAGTTTCTGTGTTCTAATTCAGTTCACTTACCCAGAACCCCCCGAGCACACCGAGAGATATGCCACAGAAGGGTTCCGGACCAATTAATTCTATTATGGATCTCTTCCTAGCAAGTTCATTCTATTTCTCGTTTCCGTCAATGCCTTTGTATCGTGTTAGATAAAACTGCTACGATGTAGCATCGTAATCGTTAAATAATAAGCATTGAATTCTAGATAGTTTTAATTGTTATTTTTTTAGGTAAATGTAGTATTTTTAATTCCTTATGCCGTAATGGAAATGTATAATGTTGGGAAACCAAAAAATCTTGATTTGATGAACTTAACAACAATTATTGTTCCTGGCTGTAAACTACCTAAACAGTATCACCAAAATGTTCAAGAGTTACTGCCCAGCGTGGATGTTTTCCTTCTATATGGTCAAACGGAGGTTGGTCCCCTCACAGCATTTAGTAAATGCGATTTACATAGAGAATATAACAGAAAAAAGCTTGGTAGTATAGGTGTACCCTACAGTGGCTCTGGTAATTCTTATAAAGTAACTATATAATTTATTTATTACGAATGTTTAACTTTTACAAATGATTTGCATCCGACAATAAATATGAACCTTTACCTACGACCACTACAGTAAATACTTAAAACACACCGTCTGCGATCAATGTAAGATTCCTATTACGTACGGTAAAAAAATAGTACAGTTTTCCTAGCAACCGCCTAGCAACGGTCAATACAATACTGTTTGTATTGACCGTTGATAAGCTTGCACTCCATCCGGGTCTATGTCCATATATTCCAGCACCCTTCCCCCTGGCCATTTTGGAGTCGTCTCTAGGAGTTACTGAGACTGTTTTGTCTCCAGTAACCTATTCTTAAATAAACAAACTTCCTATACTCGGCGGCCGAAATTATAAAGAGTGACTAATACATAATATAAAAACACTATTACCATAACACGTATAAAATATAAAATGATTTCTATACGGTTCAGTATTATTTATCTTTGTGCCGCTCGCCATGCACATCAGTAGAATCTATAATCGTGTATAGACTGAGTTACACTGAACGTCGATCTATATTTTATCTCTGTCTTTTGCACTTGGTAGGGAATAGGGAAATGCTTTTTTAGTGGGGGTAAACGGACTTGATTTGTCCGACCTGAGAAACGTCATAGCATAAGCGTAGACGAGGGGTCTAATTTCATGGCTATAATAAATTTATAAATTAAAAAAACACAACTGGGACGTTTTAAAACGCTGTAATAATTAAAATTGATCAAAGTGCCGGTTATAGCAAACCGTAAAAAATATTAGATGTTATGTTTTATTATGTTTTTTCAATATTTTCTGTATCTTGTTGCCTTTTACGCAGACACGCCAATGGATTTTCGTTCCCGGCACGCTTCATCCCCCTTACTAGTCCAAGAGCTAGCGATGAATCACTATCTATAATTTTGGCCGTCGAGTATAGGTCTCTAATCTTTCACCACTTAATTCTGTCAATTTTATTATGTAACTTAAGTAAGTTAAGTTGAACAAATAAAACCTTGTTACTATTTATTTATTTAGGAATTACAACATCTAATGGGACAAAGCCCCAATTACAGGATAAGGTAAAACAGGAAACCTTAACTAAATTTAAAAACAAACTAACATTAAATATAAAAATATAAGTACCTACTACACAAAATAGAGCAATCAAAATATAAAATCCAGACAATAGAACTTAATTATAAACAACAGACAAATAAAACAAATAAGCTAACTAACATATATAAGATAAGGATTACATTTGCTAGACAAACAATTTTTTATGTCATTCATAGAATGAAAAAATATATGAAGTCGATCTTCATACTTTTGATAACTGGAAATTTTATTAGATGTAGGGGAGATACTGTTAGTAAATTGGTACGAGGTGTGGGTAATTGTAAAGCAGAGTGAAATCTAGAATTAAGTCTAGGAACATAATAATAAATCGTTGAGAGTCGAGTCTGCATTTAAAGTGTTATTTATAATTTTAAAATGGAATATAATTGAAAACATAATTAGCCTACGACAGAGACTATTAAAATTAAAACAAGAAAGTAATACTTCTTGAGGTGTACTACGAGGAGGATAAAATCCATAACTAATAAAAGGAATAGTCTTGAAAACTCTCCGTTGTACTTTCTCTAATCGAATATTATAAATATTGTAAATTGGACTCCAAACAACCGATACATATTCAAGTTTGCAACGCACAAATGCTGCATACAATATATTTAGAACCTTCACCTTCTNCAAGAGCTAGCGATGAATCACTATCTATAATTTTGGCCGTCGAGTATAGGTCTCTAATCTTTCACCACTTAATTCTGTCAATTTTATTATGTAACTTAAGTAAGTTAAGTTGAACAAATAAAACCTTGTTACTATTTATTTATTTAGGAATTACAACATCTAATGGGACAAAGCCCCAATTACAGGATAAGGTAAAACAGGAAACCTTAACTAAATTTAAAAACAAACTAACATTAAATATAAAAATATAAGTACCTACTACACAAAATAGAGCAATCAAAATATAAAATCCAGACAATAGAACTTAATTATAAACAACAGACAAATAAAACAAATAAGCTAACTAACATATATAAGATAAGGATTACATTTGCTAGACAAACAATTTTTTATGTCATTCATAGAATGAAAAAATATATGAAGTCGATCTTCATACTTTTGATAACTGGAAATTTTATTAGATGTAGGGGAGATACTGTTAGTAAATTGGTACGAGGTGTGGGTAATTGTAAAGCAGAGTGAAATCTAGAATTAAGTCTAGGAACATAATAATAAATCGTTGAGAGTCGAGTCTGCATTTAAAGTGTTATTTATAATTTTAAAATGGAATATAATTGAAAACATAATTAGCCTACGACAGAGACTATTAAAATTAAAACAAGAAAGTAATACTTCTTGAGGTGTACTACGAGGAGGATAAAATCCATAACTAATAAAAGGAATAGTCTTGAAAACTCTCCGTTGTACTTTCTCTAATCGAATATTATAAATATTGTAAATTGGACTCCAAACAACCGATACATATTCAAGTTTGCAACGCACAAATGCTGCATACAATATATTTAGAACCTTCACCTTCTGAAAGTCCTAAGAATTACACAAAATAAAGCCTAAATTCTTATAAGCAGATTTGGTTACTAAACTATTGTGCTCGTCAAACGATAATCTACTATCAAATGTAACACCAAGGTCAGTAAATTGTGTAATTCTACTTAAAAAAGATTCACCAATTTTATAATCAAAATCTAGATTAGTTTTGAGTCCACCGTAAGACATAATTTTACATTTGCTTACAATCAGAGGTAGATTATTATATAAACACCAACTGTGTAATCTGTCAAGATTATCTTGCAATATGTTACAATCAGTAGAAGATTTAACTTCCAAGAACAATTTCAGGTTGTCCGCATACAGTAAATAGTTGACATCAAGGCATTCAGTAACCTACGTCATTAATAAAATTAACACAACAGTGGCCCCAGGATTGACCCTTGTGGAACTCCTGAAGACTGATTGCCGGTACGGCACAAATTGGTACCTATATTCCAAATGACTCCAATTTCAATGTTAATAAATTATGATGAAGCCGATCGAAAGCTTTGGAAAAATCAGTATACACAACATCAACCTGACTGCCAGCATCTCAAGCTACAGTAATAAATTGGATTTTCTCAACTAGATTTGAGGTAGTTGGAAGACCACTCATAAATCCATGGTTGGATATATTGTAAAATTATTTCTAGGATTTTTGAGAAGTTACTTATAATAGCTATGGACCGGTAGTTAGTTATGTCGTTCTTAGTACATTTTTTACAAACGCGGCATATTCGCCATACTTGTGGATATTCTTTATACTTAATTATAGATTTAAATATGATTTTTAAAGGTTTTGCAAAAATTGTTTTACAGTCTTTTATTAAAAATGCAGGAATTAAATCAGGCCCCATTGTAAAATTACCCTTCATTCTCTTAATTGCATTTATTATGTCATCTTCGGTAACGTCAGAAAAACACAAAGAGTATTAGAGCCAACAGAGGGAAATGTGGGCGTACAACTGTTAAGACTGTGATTAGGTAAAAATGAATCAGAAAAATAATTGGCAAAAGCATTGACAATATCAGAACGATTATTTAACTGAATACTATTATAACCCATACAGGACAAAATAGAGGTAGAATTAGATCTTGAATTAATATGGGACCAAAATATTTTAGGATTTTGGGACAGATCACTGACTATTGAATTGTGATAATTTTTAAATGCTAATCAATGTTATTGTAGATTTATACAGGGTGAGTCATTAATAATGGTACACATCTTACTGGGTTATTGTTAACGTCAAAATATAGTGATAGAGCCAAACATGCCTTAATCAATTATTGCTCCTTTTCGTTCTACAGGGTGTTAAAGTTGAAAAAATATTTTCTTTTTTTATCTATATTTTAAGTATATATGGACCGATTGTTTTAAAAATTTGTAGTTTTACGTTTTTTGAGGAGGCAAATACGAATATGCAAACAGTGTTGAGGTCACGTCTAGAGGGCGCTAGTTATACTATACTATACCTATCAATGTAAAAATCTGTAACTTTTTGTATTTTACAAATTTGAATTTTTTTAACTACAAATTATTGAACTACGTTCAATTCTAAATAAAAAAGGTGTACTAGTTACAAATCGATAAACTAAACCGTTTTCAAGATACAGACGTTTAAAGTTTTTGATATTCGCCGGGAATTAAATTAGAAAATCAGCAGGTCTTAAGATACCAAGCCTGAATTAAGAATTAAGTAAGTAAGTAAGTAAGTAAGTAAGTAAGTAAGTAAGTAAGTAAGTAAGTAAGCATTTATTGGTGTTATTACATAAGAAAAATGTTTACACACGTCAAAGAAAAACATGGCCAAAGCATACAATTAAAATACAATTCAAAGAGAAGCACATCATAAGTAAGTAAGTAAGTAAGTAAGTAAGTAAGTAAGTAAGTAAGTAAGTAAGTAAGTAAGTAAGTAAGTAAGTAAGTAAGTAAGTAAGTAAGTAAGTAAGTAAGTAAGTAAGTAAGTAAGTAAGTAAGTAAGTAAGTAAGTAAGTAAGTAAGTAAGTAAGTAAGTAAGTAAGTAAGTAAGTAAGTAAGTAAGTAAGTAAGTAAGTAAGTAAGTAAGTAAGTAAGTAAGTAAGTAAGTAAGTAAGTAAGTAAGTAAGTAAGTAAGTAAGTAAGTAAGTAAGTAAGTAAGTAAGTAAGTAAGTAAGTAAGTAAGTAAGTAAGTAAGTAAGTAAGTAAGTAAGTAAGTAAGTAAGTAAGTAAGTAAGTAAGTAAGTAAGTAAGTAAGTAAGTAAGTAAGTAAGTAAGTAAGTAAGTAAGTAAGTAAGTAAGTAAGTAAGTAAGTAAGTAAGTAAGTAAGTAAGTAAGTAAGTAAGTAAGTAAGTAAGTAAGTAAGTAAGTAAGTAAGTAAGTAAGTAAGTAAGTAAGTAAGTAAGTAAGTAAGTAAGTAAGTAAGTAAGTAAGTAAGTAAGTAAGTAAGTAAGTAAGTAAGTAAGTAAGTAAGTAAGTAAGTAAGTAAGTAAGTAAGTAAGTAAGTAAGTAAGTAAGTAAGTAAGTAAGTAAGTAAGTAAGTAAGTAAGTAAGTAAGTAAGTAAGTAAGTAAGTAAGTAAGTAAGTAAGTAAGTAAGTAAGTAAGTAAGTAAGTAAGTAAGTAAGTAAGTAAGTAAGTAAGTAAGTAAGTAAGTAAGTAAGTAAGTAAGTAAGTAAGTAAGTAAGTAAGTAAGTAAGTAAGTAAGTAAGTAAGTAAGTAAGTAAGTAAGTAAGTAAGTAAGTAAGTAAGTAAGTAAGTAAGTAAGTAAGTAAGTAAGTAAGTAAGTAAGTAAGTAAGTAAGTAAGTAAGTAAGTAAGTAAGTAAGTAAGTAAGTAAGTAAGTAAGTAAGTAAGTAAGTAAGTAAGTAAGTAAGTAAGTAAGTAAGTAAGTAAGTAAGTAAGTAAGTAAGTAAGTAAGTAAGTAAGTAAGTAAGTAAGTAAGTAAGTAAGTAAGTAAGTAAGTAAGTAAGTAAGTAAGTAAGTAAGTAAGTAAGTAAGTAAGTAAGTAAGTAAGTAAGTAAGTAAGTAAGTAAGTAAGTAAGTAAGTAAGTAAGTAAGTAAGTAAGTAAGTAAGTAAGTAAGTAAGTAAGTAAGTAAGTAAGTAAGTAAGTAAGTAAGTAAGTAAGTAAGTAAGTAAGTAAGTAAGTAAGTAAGTAAGTAAGTAAGTAAGTAAGTAAGTAAGTAAGTAAGTAAGTAAGTAAGTAAGTAAGTAAGTAAGTAAGTAAGTAAGTAAGTAAGTAAGTAAGTAAGTAAGTAAGTAAGTAAGTAAGTAAGTAAGTAAGTAAGTAAGTAAGTAAGTAAGTAAGTAAGTAAGTAAGTAAGTAAGTAAGTAAGTAAGTAAGTAAGTAAGTAAGTAAGTAAGTAAGTAAGTAAGTAAGTAAGTAAGTAAGTAAGTAAGTAAGTAAGTAAGTAAGTAAGTAAGTAAGTAAGTAAGTAAGTAAGTAAGTAAGTAAGTAAGTAAGTAAGTAAGTAAGTAAGTAAGTAAGTAAGTAAGTAAGTAAGTAAGTAAGTAAGTAAGTAAGTAAGTAAGTAAGTAAGTAAGTAAGTAAGTAAGTAAGTAAGTAAGTAAGTAAGTAAGTAAGTAAGTAAGTAAGTAAGTAAGTAAGTAAGTAAGTAAGTAAGTAAGTAAGTAAGTAAGTAAGTAAGTAAGTAAGTAAGTAAGTAAGTAAGTAAGTAAGTAAGTAAGTAAGTAAGTAAGTAAGTAAGTAAGTAAGTAAGTAAGTAAGTAAGTAAGTAAGTAAGTAAGTAAGTAAGTAAGTAAGTAAGTAAGTAAGTAAGTAAGTAAGTAAGTAAGTAAGTAAGTAAGTAAGTAAGTAAGTAAGTAAGTAAGTAAGTAAGTAAGTAAGTAAGTAAGTAAGTAAGTAAGTAAGTAAGTAAGTAAGTAAGTAAGTAAGTAAGTAAGTAAGTAAGTAAGTAAGTAAGTAAGTAAGTAAGTAAGTAAGTAAGTAAGTAAGTAAGTAAGTAAGTAAGTAAGTAAGTAAGTAAGTAAGTAAGTAAGTAAGTAAGTAAGTAAGTAAGTAAGTAAGTAAGTAAGTAAGTAAGTAAGTAAGTAAGTAAGTAAGTAAGTAAGTAAGTAAGTAAGTAAGTAAGTAAGTAAGTAAGTAAGTAAGTAAGTAAGTAAGTAAGTAAGTAAGTAAGTAAGTAAGTAAGTAAGTAAGTAAGTAAGTAAGTAAGTAAGTAAGTAAGTAAGTANCGTACCTAATAGCTGTTTTACATTGACAATTTATTGATCAATTAATTCATGAAGTCGCTTCATCAAGAAATTGGACAAGTGTAATGCACCAAATCTGCTGTCAAATAACTTCATGAATTTATTCATCAAGTTCTTGACGAATTAGAGCATGTTCTAATTTTCGTCAATTTCTTCGTGAAGTTCAGAAGTACCAACCCAACAGATTTCCAGCCTCAGATCAGTAATGAGGTTATGTTATTGGAATATGTAAATAATTGTGTGGCGTTGTAGTAGTTTTGGATTGTTTTTACAAAAACTAATATTTATATAATATGTGTCAGAACGGTACCGCTGTTGTATCAATACAATTATGAGTGAAAAGGTGACATTTTTGAAATTTGTTTGCTTCTTTGATTCATTGGTAGAACTGATTTACTTGATAAAGTCTGTAGCAGTGTAAAACCACACTGTTTACCAATAAATTCGTGAATTAATTCATGAAGATTCATGAAGAACTTCGTCAATTTATTGATGAATAAATTGTCAACACAGCTATAACTACTTTGGAAAAAATAATTTTCTAATTTAATTCCCGTCGAATCTCAAAAACTTCAAATGTCTGTATCTCGAAAACAGTTGAGTTTATCGATTTGTAACAAGTATACCTTTTTTATTTATAATTGAACGTAGTTCAACAATTTGTAGTTAAAAAATTCAAAATTGTAAAATATAAAAAGTTGGACATATTTTTATATTGACAGGACAGTACAACTAGTGCCCCCTAGACGCGATCCCAACACTATTTGTATATTCGTATTTGCCACCTCAAAAAACGTAAAACTACAAATTTTCAAAACAATCGGTCCATGCATACTTAAAATATAGATAAAAAAAGAAAATATTTTTTCAACTTTAACACCCTGTAGAACGAAAAGGAGCAACAATTGATTAAGTCATGTTTGGCTCAATCGCTATATTTTCACGTTAACAATCTGCCATTAAGCTGTGTACCATTATTAATGACACCCTGTATTTACGCCAAACTTTATTTTTTAATTTTATTTTATTAATATATTTTTTTAATTACTTTAGGTAGTGGATCTAAATACTGGCGAAGCTTTAGGTCCCAATAAACCTGGTGAGCTTCATGTAAAAAGCGATGCAGTAATGTCCGGCTATTACAACGTGGATAGCAGCGATCAGTTCGATGAGGACGGTTGGCTCAAGACTGGCGATGAAGTGCTTTACGATGAAGATTTATGCTTTTTCATTATTGACAGAATTAAGGACATGATAATACATAAAGGCTGGCATATACCGCCAGCTTTTTTGGAGGAAGAGCTATTAAATCACCCTGCTGTCAAAAGAGCAGCGGTTATTGGTATTCCCCATGAAACAGATGGAGAACATCCCATGGCGTTGGTAGTTCTAAAGGACAACATTAAGAATGTCACTTCTAAAGACATAGAGAAATTCATAGCCGAAAGGATGCCAGAACGATTTCACTTAAAAGCAGGTGTAAAATTCATAGATGATTCGTATTTTGCAGGTGCCAGGAAAGTGAAAAGATATTTGTTGAAGAAATTGGTCCTCAATGGGAAAATTTAAAACTATATATTCTCATCTACATGAGGCTTATTACCATTTAACTTTTTTTCATTTTTGCTTATTCAGGACAAGAAAAAATATTTAGCTATAAGATTTATATATTACTGGTGGTAATAAAATTTTAAATTTTTGTGGTTTCGATTATTTTCGAATATCTTAAGAAGAAGGAACAAATTAATAAGATTTCTGAAAATAATAATTATTTGTATTATGTAGTTTAATTCTGTTATCTGATTAAAATTATTTTTAATTTGTCCCCACTGATTGGTAGTCAATGAGTGCATTAAATACTCTGCTATTTATTATATTGTGACACTCTCCATGAATAAATAATAAATTTAGAATAGCATTTGAGTAAATATTTGTGATGTACCAAAATATTCTAAAACAACGTAATTATTTTAGTATTATTATATTTCATTTTGGTAAGCAACATGTTTATAATTTCGCAGCATTATTGGTGATGATTTACTATCTCTACTTCATGTTACATCCTTTAGGTCCTTAGTATCTGAAAAAGAAAAGAATGAATTACTGTTAGAGTAAACGAAGATTTTATATTCTTCTGTTTTGTGATTTAGGTATCTTAAATATTTAGGAATCCAACTAGAGTTTAATAATGTAGTGCTTACCTTAATTTGTTTGTTCCTAGGTTTTTGACTAATTCTGGCAGTATTGCAGTAGTTGTTTTATCGCCCGCTTTATCGGACGTTTCACGTATCTTTTGGTAGTTTTCTGTATTTCTTATCTAGCGTCCGTTTTTTCAAGGCTTATTCTGAAAAGTATTTTAAATATCGAAAGGTGTGGCTTGTGACTTTTTCTAACGCTTTTTTTTATTAAGTTAAAAATCCATTTTTAATGGAGAGAAAAGAAATTTCTAGAGTTTCGAGTCGTATTGGAATGTAATTCTCACGTGGATTTTCTAAGGGTTGTAAACTTTGTGCTGGTCCAATAAGTATTTATAGTGAGTGAGTTTGCTCATTCTTCGTAGCAAAGGGAGAATTGTCTCCACATTGCTGTTTGGTGGTTCCCGTTTTAGCATTTATTTTTGGACATTTTTGGAGTTGCGTTAGCAAGTTCCTGAAACCTCTTTGTCGCCAACAATGTCTCTAAATTATGCCAATCGACACAATTTAGAGACACTCATTCAGTTTTTCCATTATAATACGGCTTGTTTATTATCCAATCAAGTGTCTTAACGGTTCGACGCTGAATAATTCCAGTCATTTTCTATACCTAAGTTGGTCGGTATGATTGCTCATCGTACTTTTAGGGTTTTATTGTGGAGTTAACGAAGTTTTGGTCTGGTAGTAAGCGATTTTGTTGGTTTTTTAATTAAAATGAGTTATTCTGATAATGATAAATCCTAGCTTTTTTTAAAGGGAGGTTTATTTCGGTCATTTTTGTCTGATGATGTGCGAGAGAGACCGAGTTATAGTGCGCGATAGAGATAGAGTGGTTGTGTCGTCTTATAGGGTTTCTGTCACTCTTTATCTTTGTTGTCTTCAGGAGTTTTTGGGGCTTCCCCAGGATCTTCAAGACACCTAGGGGGGCGTGAGGTAGAGCGCAGGGCTTTTTTTCGCCGACGTCACAACGTATGAGAAAAAAAACAGTTTTTGCTCGAAACTCGGAACTGGTTGGAAATATAAAAAAAAATTCCTTCCGCTTCTGAGTAGAGCGCTCATTAGGTGAGGCAGGGCGAGGGGTCAAAACATATGAGAAAAGCGACTCGAAATATCAGAACATTTTCCATGGTGGGGATTGGTGATCGAGTGCAAAAGGCCCGAAGTCCACATTTCAAAAAAAAAATAAAAATTCGGGACCAAGGGTGTGAGAAATAGAATAAAATAGTGGTTATCGGAAACGGTGCGCTGAATCGAAAAAATAATTATAAAAATCTCCCCACACCCCAGGCCCTGATTGTCCGCTTTGCAAAATTTTGAAAACAAGAGATGTATTACGTGATACAGTAAAAAAGGCCATATAATTCGGAAACGGTGCGTTGAATCGAAAAAATAATTTAAAAAATCTCCCCAACACCCCTGGTACTGATTGTCCGCTCTCCGTTGAATTCAAAAAGTCTAAAGTCCATATGTAGGAAAACAAAAAAGTTAGTCAAAAATTGCAACAGCAGGTTCCAATAATTTTATAAAATTATTAAATTTTCAAGAAAATTCAAAATTAAGGAACTTTTCTTAAAGAAATTTTATGTTGTGGAACTTTTTTTGAACACCCTGTCACAAATATGAACACTGACAATGGCATCCATTATATGCAACACTTGTGTCAAGAAATTGCAATCTTTTACGTTATTAAACACAATATTCAATAAAAAAATATGTGATTCGCTACATTTTTACACAACCTGTATAATGTAATTTTTTAACAGAGGTATTTAACATAGTGCGGGATAATTGTTAGATTTAATTGTTTTTTAGAACAATTGAAAAAGTTAATTGTAATTTATTTAGTTGCAAGATGCAATTAGTATAGATTACTCAAAATAAATTAATTGCAACGTGCAAATTAATAGTTCAATTGCAGTTAATTTTGACTGCAATTAAATTAATCGCAATTACTTTTTTAATCAATTAAGTAATTGATTGAAAATTTAATTGATTAATGCCCAACACTGCCACGTGGCAATTACTTACCTGCCTGCTTGTTTAGTTGTCTGCTTGCCTATCTACCTTACCTGGTTGCCCACTCGCCTGTTGTTTACTTGGCTACTTGCCCGCTTGACCGAGACTCACCTATAAATACAATTTTCAGCTAAATTGCATGCTAAAAATTTCTTACCTCATTTGGTATTTTCATTTTGGTGTGTACATATATGTATCTGTATATTTTTGGTTACTGCCAGAACATAAGACAAATGTTTACACAAGTCACAAAAGAAATATGACACCAAGAGTACAGGGTGATTCACTATATTTTGACCCCCCTTTAACTTTAAAAATATTAAATATAAAAGTTGCACGATTTTTTATGAATTTTTCGAAAATGATAATAGAAAAACAAACGAAGTCCAAACAAAATGGCCGCGGATGTTAACTTTGTTAAGTTAAATGGAACACCTCGTATATTTTTACATATTTGGATAGAACGTTCCCTGTAGAGCATAGCCATATAGGGTTTGTTGGGTCCATCTCTAACAATAAGTAAGATACTTTTAAAAAACGAAAAGGTTTTTTTTATTAAAAAAATTAATTCATCTTGTAAAGTTAAAGGGGGGGTCAAAATATAGTGAATCACCCTGTACCAGTAATTAAAAATAGGTCAAAACTAAAGCACAGATATGTGGATAAATCATAAAAAAAATACTAAAAATAAAATCTATAGATACAAAAAGAGGCACTATTATTACAAAGTACATAAAGAAGTATATCATAGCCCAGCAATAATGCGAATACATTTGCGTTGTAATTTAAAAATTTTATCACCTTGGGAAGAATGACCCTATTTCAAAATAGCTTAACACAGATGTGAGTGAAAAAAAAACATAATAGGCGGATAGCAATATTTTTATCGAAACAGAACTAACAAGGCTTCTGATCAGGAACATCTTTTTAGATAGTTTTTTAGATAACTCGTCAATATGTTGCTTCCAAGACATTTGGCAATCAATGTTCACTTCGAGAAATTCCACTTGCGAGGCGCAATTGGTGAACTCATCATGCACATAACGCAAAGTAAACAAAATAGACTGTTTTGTCTTGATTGAGATACATCTTATTTGCCAAAAACCACTGCTTAACGTTATCCTGTGTTGTTTGAACATTATTACGAAGGACGCTGGCTTGACCTATACTATTTAGGATCGTAGTATCATCCGCAAATAGGATAAACTTGGAAATGCTATCACTAGCGTAGCGTAGATCGTTTATATAAATGAGAAATAGTGCAGGCCCAAGGACAGATCCTTGTGGGACTCCGTGATTCATGGTTAAGCATGAAGATTTACTTCCATTAAAAGAGACAAATTGAGATCTGTCACTCAGGGATGATTTAATAAGGATTTTGAATTAAAATGTTGTGGCTCACGCAGTCAAAAACCTTGGTCATATAAAGTACCATTAATAATGTCTCTATTCTCAAAGCCACTCAGAACTGAGTGCATTAAGTTGTTTATTGCTAGTGAGGTGGACCTTTTATTAAAAAAGCCAAATTGGCAGGAGTTAAATAAGTTGTTTGATTCAAAATATTCGTTATGTAACAAAAGCCTGCACGCGTAGTAATTATTTATTAGTTCTCGGAACGGATGGGCCAAAAAGTAAAATATTTCAGTCAACACTAATTTATCGGAAAGTTAATGGTTTTCAAGTAGGCTTAACGTCGCCAAGACCGTCCTTCGTGGAAGGCTTCACGAAATTTAGCAATATTTTTTAACAAGTTTACTTAAACTGTCGGAACCATGTATTCAGAAGGTATAAAGAGAAGAATCGATATTTCAAATAACGCGCGAAATGCATTCCAAAGAACGTAGGAATTCTAAGAATAAGTTGTTAGAATGTTGTGAGGAAAAGAAAGTAAAGTAGCTGGTTTTTAGGTGAATTTTCCAAGCTATTAAGAATATATTAAATGAGATGGCTAATCCGTCCCGTATTGCTATGCGGAGTCACTAGAGGAAGGCTAGGGTTATTTGTAAGTTTAGTCTAAAAATTATTTAGATAAATGTAAAATCAGCCAATTAGATAACTATTGACATGGCATAGTTATGCCAAAGCGTCGCGGTATCCAGGGTTTCCGCCAGTAAGATAAGAACAGAAACGTCTGAACCCAAGAAATGGGCGTGTCGAAGCGAAGTGTCGAATTCAGGAGAAATTCGAAAAAAGTCAGTTCTTCCTTGGGTTTCACATTGAGCAATGTACTTAGTTTGTAACGTTTAATTTTTACCTTAAACGAGGGCATGTATCGTATTCTGAAAACTGAAACACCCAGTATTTATAAGGTTTTATTTGCTATTTCTTTAAACATCTTTATCCATTTAAAATTGGTATTTTCATTCTAAAATTAACATCACACTGTATAGATAAGATTTTATCTTTTATGTTAAAAGGAAAAGGATATTCGTTCAGTCCACCAATTGGGTTTTCCTTGAAGAGATTCCCTTTGCATTCCTAGCTAAA